TTGTATGGCTTTTTCCCCTCTGACTGCTTTAAGGAGTTCCTCTATCTTTGTTTTTCAGCCTCTTAGCTGATGTGCACCTGGGTGTGGGTTCTTTTATATTTATCCTGTTAGGATTTTCTGAGCTTCTTGAATCTGTAAATTTATGTCTTACCAAATCTAGGAAGTTTTCTTGGCTGGTTTTCTCCCATATGTTTTTTCTGTCTCACTTTTTCCCTCATCCCCCCATTGTGGGAGGGATCCAGATGTCTTAATATGTGGTTACCAAAGGTTCAAGGGTAATTCCCTTACTATCTAACAGTCTAATTTAACTCACTTTGTGTGCTATTACAAACACAACCTAAAGGTTCTTTTTTTTTTCCTCCCTCCTTTTTCTTCCTCCTCTATTCTTTGGGTGTTATGAATCATATTCTGTGCTCTTTGTCTATCCCTTGGGTGACATCTATTTAGCCTTAAGAATACTTCCATCTATAGGAGTCCCTCCAAAATGCACTGTAGAAGTGGTTTTTGGGAGGTAAATTCTCTCACCTTTTTCTTATCTGAAAATTGTTTAATCCCTCCTTCAAATTTAAATGATAACCTTGCCGGATATAGTATTCTTGGTTCAAGGCCCTTCTGCTTCATTGCATTAAATATATCATGCCACTCCTTTCTGGCCTGTAAGGTTTCTGTTGAGAAGTCTGATGATAGCCTGATGGGTTTTCCTTTGTATGTGATCTTTTCTCTCTCTCTAGCTGCTTTTGAAAGTCTGTCTTTATCCTTGATCTTTGCCATTTTAATTATTATATGTCTTGATGTTGTCTTCTTGGGTCCCTTGTGTTGGGAGATCTGTGGATCTCCATGGCCTGAGAGACTATCTCCTTCCCCAGATTGGGGAAGTTTTCAGCAGTTACCTCCTCAATGACACTTTCTATCCCTTTTTCTCTCTTCTTCTGATACCCCTATAATAAGAATATTGTTCCGTTTGCATTGGTCACACAGTTCTCTCAATATTCTTTCATTCTTAGATTCTTTTTTCTCTCTGTGCCTCAGCTTCTTTGTATTCCTCTTCTCTAATTTCTATTCCATTTACTGTCTCTTCTACTACATCTAATCTGTTTTTAAATTCCTCCATTGTATGTTTCATTTCAGATATGGAATTTCTTAATGATTGAATCTCTGACTTAAATTTGTTCCTGAGTTCTTGAGTATTTCTGTGTACCTCCATAAGCATGTTTATGATTTTTATTTTGAACTTTCAGGCAGATTGGTGAGTTCAGTTTCATTTGGCCCTTTTTCTGGGGTTTGTGAGATTTTTGTCTGAACCATGTTCTTTTGACGTTTCATATTTCTGTGTGGTGCCCACTAGTGCCCAGAAGCTCCAGTCTCTGGAGCTGCTCAGCCCCTAGAGTGAGGTTGGGGGTTGTAGGGGAGCAGAGCTGGTACCTGGGGAAAGGACAGATCTGATTCCTGATTCCCGTCTGTGGTGCCTTCTCAGGTGTCAGAGCCAGTGGGCCGAGCACCCAGGTGTGAGCCTCTGTGCTTGGCATCTCTAGCTGTTGTAGGCGGGGCCTCCCTCTGCCTGGCCTGACACCTGCGCAGTGACTGCCGGTTTGCGAGCCTGTGCCGGCAGGTAGGAGGGAGGCGCAGCAGGCTGCGTGTCACAGTGGAGGACCTCGGAGCTGGGCAGGCAGCCAGGGGGATTCGGCGCCTGAAGCTCCTCACGGCTCCCAACCAGCTGGGCAGAGCGCACCCAGACAACCTCGTCCAGCTCTCCCCTCCCCTGTGCAGCAAGCTCCTTGCAAACCCCGCTCCTTCAGCCGCCCTCTCGCTGCTAGGAAGCTTCTCTAACCGCCTGCCTCTCCCTTGTCCCAGAGCGGCCGGGTGTGGGTCCCCTCCTCCACAAATGGCTGCAATCTGTCTCTCAAGCGCTCCACCTTTCTGAGCTCCCCAACGTCCAGAGCACCACACAGTGTAGGTCTTTGCTCACCAAGCAGACAGACCTCCAGGGCTGGGTGTTCAGCAGTCCCAGGCTTCCACCCCCTCCCCGCCCCGTTTCTCTTCCTCCACTGGTGAGCTGGGGTGGGGGAGGGCTTGGGTCCCGCCTGATAAAGGCTTTGGTACGTTACCCTGTTTCGTGAGGTCTGCTCTGTTCATGAGGTCTGCATGCAGTCTGGTTCAGCCTTCTTTCTTGTTGCTGTTTTAGGGTTAGTTGTAGCAATTAACTATATTTTCATACTATTTGTGGTTTTGGGAGGAATCCTCTGTCTCACTTCTCAGGTCGCCAATCTTGAATCTCCCAGACGTCTTGTTATTGTTCTGCAATGACTAAGGCTCTGTTCCCTGTTTAATCGTTTAAATAAAAGTTTGTTTTTTTCGACAAGATAATTTTTACTGATGCATTTTCAAGTTTCTTGACTCTTTAATATGCTATTAAGACCATCCAATGATTTTTTAAATTTCAGATATAGTATTTCTCAGTTATAGAATTTCCATTTGGCTCTCTTTCATAGTTTTTGTTTCTCTGTTACTATCTAATTTGTTATTTTACTATGAGTATATTTTCCTTTATGTTCCTGAGCATGGTTAAAATATATACTCTGAAATTCTTGTATGTTGAATTTCAATATTTGGGCCATGTTGGGTTTGTTTCATTTGTTTCCTTATTTCTTCATATGTTTAGCAATTGGGGTTGTATCCTGGATATTGTGAATGAGACGCTGGGTCCTGTTATGTTCCCCTTAAGAGTGGCCTTTTATTTTCAATTAATATTAAAATAGGCAAAACATAGACGTCACCCTGACGGCTGTTCCTCAGCACGCAGGTCAGGACAGTCACATGCCCGTCACCCCAGAGCTCCTCCCGTCTCGTGCATCTTGTACCTGCTGTTGGTGTCTCCCCTCCCCCAGCCCACCTCCCTCCCTCGCCTCTGTGGCTTGGTTATGTTAGGCCTGCCAGCACTGGTTCACGCTGGACTGGTCCCTCCATGACGGGTTCGTCTGCCGAGCATCACGTCCTCAGGTTTGCTGTGTGGGACACGGGCCACAACTGCCTCCTCGTCGGGGCCAAGGAACATGGCCCTGCCTGGGCAGATGGCCTTGTGCTCAGCCACCTGTCCCTCCGTGGACACCGGCTGCCCCCACGTCTCCGCTGTCGGGAACACTGCCCCCGTGGGCATGAGTGCAGATGACTCTCCCAGGCTGGGGTTTGTTCCCGGATGAGGGGTCGCTGGGTCGTGTGGCGGTTCTGTTTAGTTTTCTGAGGAACCTCTGTGCTGTCCCCACAGCTGCTGCACCGTTTTTTGTTCCCATCCGCTGTGCACAGTCCCAGCCTCCCTGCACCCTCGCCTGCACTGCGGAGCCATCCTCCTGGGGGTCAGGTGGGATCCGAGTGTGATTTTGCTTAAGAGTGGTGTTTTGGTTTGTTTTCTTGTCTGGCAGTTGGACTCTTGTTTGCTATGTTATAAGCTAGGCTGTTTGGACTGTGCTCCATACATAGGTGTGCAGCCTGGAGTCTGTGTGCAGACTTTGGGGCTCCTCGTCCGTGGCTCTTTGGTTTGAAGTTCTCCTCCCTGTAAGCTGTTGCGGTTGCCTCAGACTTCCGTCAGTCACAAACCTAAGACCCAAATGTCTGTCCGGTGCTCTTCCTCCCTTTCCTCTTGGCTTCTGGTCTCAGTGCCACCGGCTAGTGTTTTATATTTTTGTCCAGTAGTCTGACGTAAGTTGGAATAGGAGCCTATTGTGATTTACCTTTAAAAAATACTGTATGAGTCACACAAAATGTTTTTATGTGTGATCCAGTATTGAAAGGCAGTCCAGGGCAAATGAAGCCCAGCTGGGACTTGGGTATTAGATTTGCCCTTTTCCATCCCTTGCTCCCCGAGGAGCTTTGGATCGCAGACCCTAGCACCCCTGTGGCTGCACTTCAGGCTTTTCCACCTGGACACTTTTGGCATTTGTTGGGAGGCCTATCCTGTGCATTGAGGGGTGTTCAGTTGGCCACCTTGACCCTGTGCAGTAGATGTCAGCAGCCCCTTAGTGGTGGCCATCAGGTTCCCAGATGGTGCTCAGTGCCCCCGTGGAGCAGAATGGCCCCATTTGGGAGCTGCTGGGCCTTGTGGGCATCTCTGCTCCTTGTTCTCAGCTCCTCCCCTGATGCTGTTGGCTGCTCTTCTCAGTCTCACTGGGGGTGGGCAGGTGCACTCTTGGTGCCTGCCTGGACCTTGTTCCTAGCTGCCCCTTGGGGTTCTGGTGCTTTTCTGGGTGTCCTGAGCTGGGGACTGTAGACCCCAATTGCCACATGCAGCCAGAGGGTGAAACTTCCTAAAACTGCTCCCTCTACACCTGGGCCTCACGGGACCAGCGTGGCATGCTGCCAGTATGCGCTGTGGCTCAGCCATGCCTCTCTGCCAGGCAGTCTGCAGGTGACAGCAGCTACTGCAGCGCTCCTGGCTGTATGCGTTTCACCTGAGCCTGGGAGGAGGGTGGGTGTGGGGGACCGTGTCAGCCCCAGCATGGACCAGAGCCACCTCGGGGTGCCTGCATGTTCTGACTCAGCTTTTTGCCACTCCTCCCTCCATCATTCTGGAACTAATGCGGTGGCAGGCATTGGAAGATCAGGTTTTAAGCTTTGCTGACCAATGACCTTGGGCATGTTGCTGACCTTCTGCCTGGTAGTCCTCAGCTGTGACAGGAATGGCTGCTGGCTTTGTTTCTGAACCCTTTCCCTTGGCCTTTTCCCGCAAGGCCTGGCTTTGTCAGCTGCCTTGGGCACGTGCACAGGTGGCACTCTGAGTCAGGTATGTGTGATTTAGCTTTCCCCTGAAGAAGGATTCCTGTCCCTTTCCTTTCAGCTTTATCATTCTGTGACTCTGTTGTGTAGTGATATTAGAACTGTCTCTTTCTAATAGGACCTAATCCTTAAAGAAAACATCATAAATTGTCTAAAAAAAATCCCCACAAAACATGCAAAGCTGTAGGGGTGTTGGCATACTTGAATCTAATATGTTTCTTTTTTTTCTCTAGTACTGTAGTGTTCTAAGAACAGAAGCATCCAGGCTGAATGGAATTTAGCTTCAAAAAAAGTCCTGTTTCTGTTCAGAAAGTTGTAAAGTGCATAAAGATGAAGCAGGCACCAGAAATCCTTGGCAGTACAAATGGAAAGACTCAGAACTGTGAAGTGAATCGCGAATGTTCTGTGTTCCTCAGTAAGGCCCAGCTTTCTACCAGTCTGCAGGAGGGGGTCATGCAGAAATTTAATGGCCATGACGCGCTTCCCTTTATCCCTGCTGAGAGGCTGAAAGATCTAACCTCCCGTGTATTTAATGGAGAACCCGGTGCTCATGATGCCAAATTGCGTTTTGAGTCCCAGGAAATGAAAGGAATTGGGACGCCACCTAACACCACCCCTATCAAAAATGGCTCTCCGGAAATTAAGCTGAAGATCACCAAAACGTACATGAATGGAAAGCCTCTCTTTGAGTCTTCCATTTGCGGTGATGGTGCTGCTGCCATGTCCCAGCATGGAGAAAATGCGCAAACACCAGCAAACAAGGCGAGGAGGAGCAGGAAGAGAAGCATAAAGTACGACTCCCTTTTGGAGCAGGGCCTTGTTGAAGCGGCTCTGGTGTCCCAGATCTCCAGTCCCGAAGACAGGAAGGTATCTGAGGATTCTGTCGGGTCGGGCAGGGCAAAGTGGCAGCTCCTGAGCACGGGACCCCAGTGAGGACACTTTCCAGTGTGGGGCATGGGGCGGCTGGAAGGTGGGATGGGCCACTGGGCCTCTGCTCTCCACCTGGGCCTGGGCACACTGATGGGGAGCCCCAGCTTGGCCTGAGAGCCAGCCGTGAGGCCAGAGAGGCTAAGAGCTCAGGACTTAAATGGCTGAAGGAGGTTCTTGTGAAGGTAAAACTGGCCTCTGAACCTAGGCCCAGCCAGTTCCAGAGCCCAGCCTTTAACCCTCAGGGATCCCCTCTGCAAAGCCATCTTTAGCTTGATTATGCTCAATGGAGGTGCACTAGGATCTTGGTGGGAGGCAGTGTGGTGTGGCGCAGGCCCTTCCCGCAGAGTGTGCAGGCCCCTCACCACCCCCTCGCCAGGTGGCCCAGCAGGTGGTCCGCCTCTGGGGGGAATGGAGCTGTGGTTCCCACCTTCCCATTCTTGCTTCCTAGCACAGAGCCCAGCACCTGCATACATGTGAACAAGTGTGTACTCACTGAACGCAGGGTGGAGAACCCTAGTTTACGAGGAAGGAACGTGGTGGTTTGTGTCACCATGTCTTAAAGTGACACTCAGCATGGCCCACTGCTTAGATGAGTGCAAGCTTTGTAACACACCAGGGAGGACTAGCCTTGGGAGGAGGTGCTTGGGGCACTGTGCAGCCCTCTGTCCACCCAGGTCCTGACAGTCTAGGCCAGCAGGGTCCAGAAGGTGTCCTCCGGTCTTGAGTGGAAGCTCAGGCCCACTGCCTGAGTTGGGAAGGGCACTGAAACCAGTTTGGGTTGGTATCATGACTGCGTTTGGAATATTTAGTTTAAAACTGTAGTTGGGGATTTTCATTTACAATTTCCATTGACAGGGGAAACGGCCGGAATTCCCTTGAAATTGTTAAAATAGTGAAGATTTTAAGGGTTTAAAAATTTTTTTCGGGTATCTCTTGCCACCACATTCATGACGGTGAGGTCTTCAGGAGGTCAGCCTAGGGGTGCCCGTTGGGTGTGTTTGTGTATGTCTTCTTTAAATTAATTATTTTTTATTTTGATATAATTAATCTACAATTACATGAGGAACATTATGTTTACTAGACTCCCCCCATCACCAAGTCCCCCCGACAAACCCCATTACAGTCACTGTCCGTCAGCGTAGTGAGATGCTGTGAATCACTACTAGTCTTCTCTGTGTTGAACAGCCTTCTCTGTGCCCCGCCGCCCACATTATACATGCTAACCCTAATGCCCCCTTTCTTTTTCCCTGCCCTTATCTCTCCCTTCCCACCCATCCTCCCCAGTCCGTTACACTGTGGTTACTGTTAGTCCATTCTTGTGTTCTGTGAGGCTGCTGCTCTTTTGCTCCTTCAGTTTATTCTTTGTTGTTATACTCCACATATGAGTGAAATCATTTAGTACTTGTCTTTCTCCACCTGGCTTATTTCACTGAGCATAATACCCTCTAGCTACATCCATGTTGTTGCAAATGGTAGGATTTTTTTCTTCTTATGGCTGAATAATATTCCATTGTGTATATGTACCACATTTTCTTTATCCGTTCATCTAGTGATGGACACTTATGTGTATGTCTTTTGTTGTTCATTTTCAGATTCCAGCTAAGAAAGAGTCCTGTCCAAATTCCAACCGAGACAAAGACCACCTGCTGAAGTACAGTGTTGGCGATCTGGTGTGGTCCAAAGTGTCTGGCTACCCTTGGTGGCCATGCATGGTCTCTGCTGACCCTCTCCTCCACAGCCACACCAAACTTAAAGGTACTGCGCTTCTGGGCTGTTCCCATCTCTTCCACACTTTATCTTTCTTAATTCCCCAATTTCTTTCTTACTCTTCTTCCTTAAATAATCCTACTATGGGTCCTTTTTTCCTCTTTTTATTGTGGTAAAATACACATATAATTGACCATCTTAGCTGTTTCTAGGTGCACCGGTCACAGGTGTCCAGCACATTGACATTGATTGCTGTGCAGCCATCCTCCCACCCCTCCTCAGATGTGCTCATCTTGTGAATCTAAATGTCCCCCTAAACACTCTCCGCTTGTCCCCTGTTCCTGGTCCCCACTGATGACTGCCTGTCTCCTTTCTGTGGCCTTGGTGTGCATTTCCCAGATGATCAGTTCTGAGCATCCTTTCATGTTTGCTCTGGAGAAACATCTATTCAAGTTCTTTGCCTGTTTTTGAATCGAGTTTGTTACTTTGTTGTTGAGTTTACTGTGGTTCATTTTTCCCACTTAACCTGAACTTAGTAATTGATTCAGATGTGACACATTGCCATTTGTTTTTTTATCCAACACAGATACATACTTTATTTGATAGAATTAGTATTAAAGGAGAAATGGTCTTTGCCTTGTATTGCTTTTCAGGTTTTATGATATATAATTTTTATTATTTAGATATACATTTGATTGCTTATCTCAACATAATTTTCAGAAATAGTATTTTATACTAACTTTTGAATTACAAAAATGTCCCAGCTTATTTTTTAGGCCTGTGGGAAAAAGGAAACATACTGGATTTATCTTTGGTGTCATGAAACTTGGGAATATAAATTGGTACATTGAAGAGTTGAAGAACATTTTAAGAATGTAATATGCTGGAAATACAGATTAGAGCAGATGCTAATTTAAAGAATAATTGTATAACTAATAAAACAAATAAAAACTTGTATTCTGGAGGAAAAAATTCAAGACACCTGTTGGTTTGAGATTCTCCTGGAAAATTGTTCTCAAGTTTGAATTTAATTTGAGGAAGGTGAGCACAGAGTTGCATCTGAGCAACTTAGTGCCCATTGGGATCCTCTAAGAGGAAGGACAGCTTCCTTATTGACCGCTTCCCAGCCACACTCTGGGAGTTTTCCGTCATAGTGGTCCTTGTGGAGATTCTCCCAGTGGCCGCTGGTGTCTCCCTCATGCCTGCCACGTCCCACTCTGATTACCTCCGGCGCTTCGGGACCCTCATGCCCTTGGAGTTCCCCGCGATCTAGAGCAGCCCTCCCTGCCCCCAGCCCCATTCTCAAGTGCTCCGGTCTCTCGGGATCAGGCCCGGGGCCAGGCAGGAGTATCAGGCAGGTGTCCGTGTGGGAAGCGGCTCGGACTGGGCTCCTCACTGAAGACCTTGCAGGAAGAAGAGGTGCAGTGACCACCATGTCCTTCCTGGGAACTGGTTTGGGGTGCAGGGGAGGGAGCCCTTGCAATCACAGGCAGATCAGCTTTAGAAGATGATGACAATGTGTTTGAAATGCTGCAGCAGGAAGAGAGGCAGGGTGTGCTCCTCAAGCAGGAAAGGCCCTCGGACGGCCTTTGAGAAGCTACGGGCCAGAGGAGCTTACGAGAAGCCGGGGTGACAGCGGAGCACATCAGGGGCTCCTGATGTCGGCTGCCCCATGTCCCAGTGAAGACATGGTCCCTTTTTGGCACTAGTGAGTGGCATGGGGCCATGCTCGGACACCAGTTCCCTGACAACCAGTGCTGGTGGTGGCACTTCATGATGACCCACTGGCTTGTGAAATGGTAACTATCCACTGTTACCACACTTCCTGTGTTTAAGTAGCTGGTATTTCTCTGTGGACATTAGCTCCTAAAAACTAGTTTTTTATTCTAGTCCGTGCTCTTTAATGCTCAAATCGTCTCCAGCTTGATGTGTTCTTTTGACATAGCTCCATTAGCCTTGGAGCAGTTCCTCACAGGTGGCCCAGCCAGATACTCCAGGCCCGTTTTGGGCCTTGTTTGCTTCAGTCCTGAAATCAGCCATTTCTTGGAGGAATCCTACATCTTTTCAGTAGAGAATGCCGTGTGGAAGCCCAGATGTGGGTGTCTCCGTCTGCTGTGGGAGATGGAGAACTCACTGGGAGTATGAGGCAGGCTCCAGGCAGTGCTGAGACCTGGTCCAGGTGGTGCTCCTGGTCCATTCATGACTCCCCAGCACTTGGCGTGTGACATTCCCTTGATGGGGATGAGGCGGTGAGGGTGGGCATGCCTGGGGGCTTCGGCCTCCTGGCTGGGGAAGGATAGCCATAAAGAAAGGATTGCTTCTCAGATGGAGCTGGCTGAGCGTGAGGTCTGTGAAGCAGGCACCTTTTTTCCCCATAAGATGGAACTTTCACCCTAACCTGATTCCTACCCAAGTTCTCTTTCTTTAGTTTTGGGTATGTGTACTTCTTTTTATGTTCAAGCTTGGGATTTGTAGATGTGCTTGAACCTGGATTTTAGTAATGCACTTACATTAAAATTGAAGTATAATATATGTTCAGAAGGGAGCACAACTCATAAACTGCAGCTCAATCTAGATTCTTTTGAAAGTTCAAATTTCCTTTGAAAATCTAACTTAATGAAAGTCTTAATGTAAGCATTTTTGTGACATAGCAGAAGAACTTAGCTACTGTCTACCAGGGCACCCAGATGGACTAGCAGCTTTGAGGCCTGACACTTTAAGTTGGAAATGGGAGATAAATGTGCATTTGAGACATAATACTATGAAGAAAGCTGGATTCTGTTGTATCTGGGAGCTTTACCATTTCCCTGGCACACCTGGATCCTGCTAGTCTTTTCTAGTAATCACTTTCACTAGTAATCAACTTTTGTTGTCACTTTCTCTAAATTATAAAAGGGAACCCAACCCTTTCTAAATCCCAGCATTTTCTAAAAACATGACAGGTAATCTGGCTTTCTCATTTCTTGGGTTATTGACCCAGAGGTCGTCAGTGTCCCTAGCCCCACTCTGAGCACTGGGGGTGAGTTACCAGCACAAGGTCACCCAGCTGGTCTGTGGTGGGTCTGGGATCAGAACCTGGGCCATCTGACACCAGGATTCCCCTGCACTGCTGCTTCGTCCCCTAGCTCTTGGACGGTCCTTTTGCTGATGGCCTCTCTCATCTTAGTTTGGTGCCTTTTTAGGTGGATCTTGGAAGGGAGGGGAGGAAGGAGTGCATTTGGTCAGCCTACTTTCCCACTGGCCTGGAACCTAACCTGAGTCTGTCATGCACGCTTCCCTCTGGCGTGGGGTGTAGTGGGGATGAAAGTGGTAGGATTTATTCTGAGGTTAACAGACTCAAACAGCACCAAGTAAAACAACTTAAAAGCAGCCCCAGCTCCCTACCAGTAATTATTAATAGATTTGTCTGATTCCATCCCAACTTCAACTTTAAAGTTTAAATGTTTTATTTTAAAAATTAGGTCAGAAAAAGAGTGCACGCCAGTATCACGTGCAGTTCTTTGGTGATGCCCCGGAAAGAGCATGGATATTCGAGAAGAGCCTTGTAGCTTTTGAGGGAGAAGGACAGTTTGAAAAGCTATGCCAAGAAAGTGCCAAGCAGGCACCCACGAAAGCTGAGAAAATTAAGGTGATCTATGTTCCTTATGTACAATTTTATACAAAAACTTTAATTTTTTTTATTCTTAATTATTTTGTGTTAAACTTGATGGTTGCTTGAACTATTGCAATGGCTGCTAATGTCTGTCACTGTGTGCTTTTACCCAAGTATGCTGTTTTGTAAATAGGACAAGCGTCTTTAGAGACATACTGTTTCTTTTTACTCATTTGCTGACTCCCAGAAATCATTTGTCTTATAATTTTAATCTTCCTTTATATATATAAGTAGTATATAATATTAATATATAAATATGCCATACATTACATATGTATATGACATTAGTTAAATGTGACTGGAATCAATTTCTAGTTTAAAGAAACAGTTATTATATTGGGCTAAATTCTGTCTAAAACTTTCAAGTTAATTGGCTTTGATAATTTTGATTGCTAAATTAACAATTCTAAAAGTATCCTTCTTTAAAGTGGGCTTTTAAAATTTGTATAATTAAACTTATAATGTCCTATGTTTTTCTTTTCAGCTGTTGAAACCTATTTCAGGGAGACTGAGGGCCCAGTGGAGGATGGGCCTCACTCAGGCGGAAGAAGCCTCAAGCCTGCCGGTGGAGGAGCGGAAAGCCAAGTTCACCTTCCTCTATGTGGGCGACCAGCTTCATCTCAACCCTCGTGCAGCTCAGGAGGCAGGCATCGCTGCGGAGTCTCTGGGAGAAGTGGGGTCCTCAGGAGCCACTGAAGAAGCTTCTGGTGACCCCAAGTCCATGAGGGAAGAGGTCGTTCCCATCAAGAGGAGGAGGAGAGCCAAGCTGTGTAGTGTTGCTGAAAACCGAGAAGGTGACCCTGGGACTTGTCCTCAAAAGATGGCAGAGGCTGAACCCAAGAGAGGGCTAACGTCTCCTCCTGGGAGGAAGAAGGCCACAGCCTCCACCCCTCGAAGCAGAAAAGGGGATGCGGCATCCCGGTTTCTGGTCTTCTGTCAAAAGCACAGGGACGAGGTGGGTACCCAGCAGGTCCTTGGCTGTGGCGTTGAGATGCTGGGGAGTTCCTGAATTTGAGGGACAGCCTGCAGTGCAGAAATCAGCTGTTTCTCAGCAGGCTGCAGTGCGCCTCATGTGGGTTTTAGATCTCATAAGTATGTGTTGTTAGGGAATGGCACTTACCTGTGCGCTCTGGGTTGCTAAGACATTACTCCCAGTGCAGATGGGAGTGGGCTTCATGGGGCTGCCCTTTGTGAGAAACTCGGCCATACTCTTAAAATCCAGCCTGGCTTAGCATCTTTCTATGGCCCTGTTCTGTACATGCCAGGATGGGGCATACACACATTCAAAACCTGTGTCTACAGCACTGAATGCATTAAGCACTTATTTCCATGATGTTTAAAAGAGTAATATGTCAGTGATGAAAACATTTGAGTAATTTTCTTGTTTTCATAGAATCCATAGTCTGTTAGCACATTTTAAAGGCTTGATTCTGTTGTTAAGAACTGAAGGGGTTTGGCTCTCAGTTTTGGTTGTGTTCACTATTACTTGAAGCGAGGGGGCTTTTCTCAGGAACGTAAGGGTGGTGTGACATTAGAAAATCTGTTGTGATTCACTCTGTCACAGATTAAATGATCATCTCTGTAGATGGAGAGAAGGCATTTGATACATTACCCAGCCAAGAATAGAAGGAAATTTCCTTAATCTGTTATGTCTGACAGAAACTTCCTGCAAGCATCATACTTATTAATGCAACTGTAGAAGCATTCTCGTTAAAACAATGATGAAGAGAGGCTGCCTTTCTGTCACTACTTATATTGAACGTTATAGTGAAAATACTAACCAGTGCAGTAAGATAAGAAAAACAAATAAAAAAGACATAATCATAAAGGAAAAAAATACAGTTGTCATTGTTTGTGGAGGGCTATGTAGAAAACTCAAGGGAATCTACAGAAGATCTTTAGAAGTAATAAGAGTTCACTGGGACTGGCAATTATAAGATCAATATACAGAAGCAGCAACAAAGAGGGGATAATACTGAAAAAGATACCATTTATGGTAACAATAAAAGTAGTAGGAACTGAGGAGTAAATATAACAATCATACTGGAGAAAAGTAATTGGTGTTCTAGCAGGACCTAAGTAAGGACAATATGTTCATATGCAGGGAGGCTCAGTATTCTGAAGTTGAAGTTGTCCGTTCCCCCATAGTAAACCATAAATTCAGTATAACTCTAATAAACCCCCAACAGGGATTTCTTTGCTCTTTGTAGTGAACACTAGCAATCCCGTTTGAAGAGAAGCTCAGCCTGAGAACTTGCCTCAGCACATAGGAAGTTCTGTTCTTGAAAATGGAGCCATTTGTGTTGGGGGTGTTCCAGGTAGTGACAGCACCCAGGAGCAGACCCCCAGGCGCGGAGGCATAGGGAAAAGGCTGCAGACCAGCTGGGTGGGCCCCAGGCCACCCTGGGTGTGTGGCACTCAGTGCTCTGTGGTCTCCAGGTCTGGCCCCAGTGCCTGGGGCTCAAGGCTATGAGTGTTGGTGGGGAGCCCCATCTGGGCTGGTGGGGGGCCATTTCTTACACTGGGTTTCCAGAGAAATTTGGCAATACCTGGTGAGATAGAAGCCATATACTACCTTTTCGTTGTGTTAGGTCCCTCCTAGGTATTTCCCCTCGTGGCCCAGGAGGCTGCACGATGCTCAGAGCTGAAAGGCCAGCAACGGAGTGACAGGCTGTGGTGTGCCTTGGACAGCAGGCACAGTGGGCTCGCTGGAGGCCCAGGGGGACATGTTGTTGAGTGTGTGCATGTACTGCGGTGCACATGAAGTCTGGAAAGGGCAGCACTCCCACTCTTCAGTCTTACCCACCTGTCCACTTACATCCATCCAGAAAGAGGAACTGTGGCTGTGCAGGTGTGGGTGCTGACACGGTGGGGTACCTGGGCCACCACTGGCTTTGAGGTGGTCCAGGGCACTGAGCAGGGCTGCATGGGGCCTGCCGGTGGGGGCAGCCAGACCTCCGTTGCACTTGCTGAGCAGCAGCAGCTGTCACCTTTGGAGGCAGGCCTGGGCCCTGACTGATGAGGGCCCCCTAGCCACATACCAGCCTGCTTCTAGTCTGTCTCTCTGTGGTCTCTCCACTCATTTGAAATTAAGAAAGAGTGGGTATTTCCAAAGACCACTGTTTTTGCTTTGGGGGCCTCCAGTTGCTCTCAGATGGCCCTTCCAGCACTAAGAAATGTGCCAAGAATAAGGAGAAGCCTGTCACTCCAGAGGCTGCTGACACAGTGCTGAAGGCAGGCCGCCACCCCACAGCCCCAGAGGCTCCCAGCACAGCTCTCAGGGGCTCCGTGTGCCCCTCCGGGGTCCACTGCACCATGCTGCCCCTGAGGGCCTGCTGAACGCAGCAACCAAACAGGGCAGTAAAGAGCCCGTTCTTTGTTAGGGACCATGCCCTGCTTGCCCACAGCGGCCTCCCTGGCGATGCCTTTTACATAAGTCTTAGACTTGGGAGTCATGTGCTGCCGTTCACACACTGTGTCAGCTACCCTGGCCAGCACTGTTCAGCAGCGAGGCACAAGTACGAGGGGGCCCTCTTAGCTGGGCACCCCAGCATTCTTCCTGAAGTCTAAAGGGTGGCACGAAGCTTCAAAAAATGTGCGTGCATCAGGGAAGGGCGTGTTTTCTGAGGGATAGAGGGTCTCTGTATGGGTACTGTTTTAGTCAGCTGTTTGGGCTTGTGGTATTTGGTTCCCTGTGTGTTTTTGTACGTTTGAAATAGTTTATTAAAAATGCAGAACTAGCCACTGTTGAGTGCTGATCAGCACATCAGATACATTGTCGGTATGTTATTGTGAAAAATTGTGTTCAGTTTTTATAAAACCCTTTTGGGGTTGGCATAAATTTCTCTGTGTCTTATATATGACTAAACTGATCTGAGATGTAAGTCACTCTCCTTTACCAGCGAGGTGATACAAGCAAGTAGAAGGGGGACCTGACCCTAACTTTGCATGTGCGATGCACACGTGTGTGCATTTGGGATTTGGAGCTGTTGTCCTGTTCCGTTATGCAGCCCAGAGACTTTAAGGAGCGGTCATTGATTTGTTGGCTTAAGATGCTGGAAGGTACTTTCTTGCCCCCGCTGGAGCACATATTATATGGGGGGGTGAAAATGAACAGGAGATCCCCCAAGAGGGTAGGCGCAGGGCGGCATGGCGCTTCTGTTAGCTTTACTTCCTGCCTGTGGCACAGGGAACAGGAACATGAAAACAACACTGTGGCCGCAGCTTCCAAGGAGGCCCGCCGGCCAGCCTTGGGGAGGAGGCTGAGCTGTCCCCGTCCTCGGCCCACAGGGACTGCCCATTGTGGAGCTCAGGCGCGGCGTTACCAAAGGAGTGATGGAGGTGGAGGAGGAGTGGTTGCTGGGTTGGGGCTAAGGAGGGCACCGCCAAGTGGCAGTGTGGCCAGGAGAGGTGGCTGGGCAGGATGGAGCAATCTGGATGGAGAAGGTGGGCACAAGCCCATCTGGGAGGGGAGCTGGACAGACTGGCTTGAGTTTCGGAGTGGGGGGACCAGAGGTCCCTGGGATATCTGGGTGTCTGGCCCGACGATGAGGTTGGGAATCTTGTTACGATTGATGCCGATGGAGGACATTGTAGTCTGGGACGGGTGACTGAGGGGGTGGCAGGTCCTTCAGTGAATCTGCTAATCGAGGAGTCTCCAGGTAGATGGTTCCAGAAGGCAGGGCCCTGTGACTCTGAAGCTCTGCACAGGAAGTGGTGCCACGCAAAGGCCCATGACCCCTGACGTTTGGGTATTGGGGGCCAGCGAGCTAGCCCCTTGTGGAAGTGGGTGGACACCCCAGGCTGAGAGGAGGGAGCTGGCATGCACAGGGCTGGAGATGCCCAGGCAGGCACGGAGTGGACACAGTGACAACGAGGGGCTGTGAGAGCACCCACTGGATGGTACTGCAGAGGGTGTCCCTGGGATGAGCTCACAGTGGGACCAGGGCTTTCTGTGGGGTGGCCTTACCTTGTCTGGAAAGCTGTCTGTCTGCATTTGCAGGCAAGTCATTACCTGTGTTGGCAGGCAGGTGGTAGATTTAGGTGGTAATAGGAACCAGCCAGCATTAACCCACTGATTCCTTACCACCACCAGGTGAAGGCAACACCCCGTGCCACCAGGGAAATGGAGACCACACCTCCATTCACCCAAGCTCACAAAGGCGCTAAGCAGAAGAGCCGCGTTTCACCCTGAGGCCTGGCCACAGAAGTGCTGGCTGGTGCTCCAAATCAGCCTTCTTTGAAAGGCCTGACGGCAGTGGGGTCTTGTGCAGTTACTCAGCTCTGCTGTGAGAGCGTGAAAACAGCCATAGAAAACATGTGAATGGACGCCGATGGCTAACTTCCAGTAAAATGCTATGGACCTTGATACTTGAATCTCCTATAGCTTTTATGTGCTATGAGACACTGTTATTTTCCCTCAACCATTTAAAAATGTAAAATCAATTGTAGTTCACAGGCTGGACAGACAGGTGGCGGGTGAGAGCGGCCTGAGAGCCACAGTCAGCTGCCTCTGGATGACCCTCAACTTGGTTCACATCGGAAACTCATGGGAAATCTTTGAAATACTGATGCCAGGCTTGCTGAGTTGGGGTGATCTTGGGTGGGACTTGAGCGCCATAGGATTCAGAGCTCCCCAGGTTATGACAGTGCACAGTCAAGGCCGAGCACTTCAGTGTGCCCGGAATGCCCTGGTGGCCTGTGCCTGGACTCTGTATTCCCAGCACGCTCCTGGTCCCTACGCTGGCAGCCCCATGGGGTAGGAGGGCCACAGGGAGGTTCTCTGTTTTGGCCGTGCAGTATGGCTGTCCGGTGTGCTGGCCTGGGCTCTGACAGTTGAGGGCAGGCTCCCTGGCATACCACCTCTACTTACCAGCATCCAGGGTGCGGATGTGGAGGATGAAGAGAGGTGCATGGCTGGTGGAAGGCTGAGCCATGGCTTCACCCCAACGTCTGTGGTGGGTGTTTCCATTGGGCTCCTGCTGCTGGTTTGCAAGGGTGCCTAGACACTTGGAGCTCACTAATAATTCCTGGGAAGCTGTTTATCATTTTCTGCATTTACACAAATACAGTTAGCAGTGTTTTCCTTCATGAGTTTTCAGTGAGCTGTGGCATCTATTAAGCATTAGTTTTCTTTGATGCCTCTATAGACTGTGTCCATGACATGAATGAAAATGCCATGGGCAAGTTCTCAAGGGCCAAGTTCTAAATTTTGTGCAAAACAAAACAAAAACCCAAAGGAGCTTCAGGCATCGGCCCTCTCATCACACCCTTCCTGTGTTTGCAGGTAGTTGCCGAGCACCCAGATGCCTCAGGCGAAGAGATCGAGGAACTGCTTGGATCCCAGTGGAGCATGCTCAGCGAGAAGCAGAGAGCGCGCTACCACACGAAGTTTGCCCTCGTGGCCTCTTCACAGGCTGAAGAAGACACTGGTAAACATGCATCCGTGTTAGGGTGCTCTGCTAGGCAGCCCGTGCACAGACAGAATCCTGAAGCATCTGCCCTTCCCAGCTCTGACTCGGGGTGGGCCAGCAGCCAGAGTGCATGTGGTTATATAAAGCAGTGCTGCCATCTGCGTCTCCTCACTCGTCCTGAGTATTTGGTGCCTCTCTGGTCTGCCAGCCCCGTGGGCAACAGCCCTCTAACCTTTGCAGCTGGTGGGTGGCGTGAGGGAGGACATGAAGAGGGGCTGGGTGGTCTCTGGATCCAGGCTTATGGGACATGGTAGGGTCAGACATCAGGCCTGTGTCCCTCATGAGGTTGCCCCCCAGCCAGGGCTGCACCAGCTCCTCCCAGGGCTCAGCTCTGGAGTGGGGCTACGGCCCCAGGTGCCCATTCTTGGCTAGTTTGCTCCAGCACCGACTGGGTGAAGAAGGAGACCATGAACTGACCTGAGTGTCATCCTGGGAAGGGCTGTTTTGCTCTGGGTATTGGTGAGAGGAGGATACTTAACACTGAAGCATTGGAGGGAACTGGGACAGCGGTCGTGTTTGTCCTCTGTGCACGCTCAGCACACGTTGTAGGAAACTGACTTTCTTAATGGAAAAATAAGGGTGGCATATTTGGGTGCCAGTTTAAAACACAAAAGGATTCTGTGTCTCCCAAGGTCCGTCAAAAGAATGTTTACAGAGGCCAAATGTAAAGTGTGTCAAGACTCAGGGATGGCCAAGGCCCCGGGTGCTCACCAAGCCCTGTGCGGTGGTGTGTGCTTCTAGGGCAGCACTGCGTGGCTCGGAGTGCCTTCTGCCTGGCCTCTCTGTTTTGTTCTCCATTTTTTCATCTTGATTCAGGGCCATCCAGGTCTCCACATGAGCCTTCTAGTCATATTAATACTGAATTCTGTCTGCTTTGCTCGTTATTTGTTGGAAACACTATGATCTTGAGTAGTGAGTGAGGATGTTTAGAACCAGTGTGTTTTCTTAAAAGGCAGAAGTTTGCCAGAGGCTTCACCAGTATACCAAATCTAGAAAAGTGGCCCTTTTCAATGCCAAGCTTATTTACAAGCGAGCTGGTTTCCCTAAAAAAATAAGTGGTCTGTCATCGTATCGCATTTTGTCAGCTTGGACTGCTGCCGCCGAACGGTTAGTGGGCAGGAGGATGACAGGGTGGATGTGAGTCAGGTGTGTGCTTGCCTCCGGGCCTTTACCCCTCTCTCCCAGGGCCCCTGTGCTACCAGCCAAGATGGCGGGCCATGTCTGTGGTGTCTGCTGTCCCATCGTCTGCGTTAGGGATTCAGATGCATATGCCATGTTGCTTATTTGTGGTGAGAAGACTTCCGTCTTGTTCTGCTGTGGTGTCCCTTAATGTGGAAGACCATGACTTCGTCTCACCTGTGGGGGGATGAGGCACTGGGGGACTGTCACAGGCATCTGTAGCTTAGTGAACCTGTGCCAATGAGGGGCACCCCGACTGAGGTCCTGGCGAGTCAGGCAGCTGTCACTGGGCAGATCCTGCTGCCCTTGCTCTGCAGGCCACTTCCTGGTGTCCCTTGCAGCCAGCTGACAGTGCTGTGGCCAGAAGCCGGAGCTCAGGCAAGGTTGCTGGCTGGCCGCCTCAGATCAGTCTGTAACTGGCAGCTCAGCTCTTCCCTAGTGTCAGCCTCAACCTGAGGCAAGGCCCTGATTGGGTGTGTCAGCCCGGGCCGGGTGACACCTTCTGAGGGACACATCGTGCCTGACTCCACCCCACCTGGCAGGGAGGCTAGAAAATGACATTGCCCTCCTACATGATGCTCAATGGACATTCCAGAAATAAGTTCCTGAACCTTGTAGAGCAGCCATGCAGATGAAAATGCTGGATTTGTACTTGAAATAAACATTGGCATGTTCAGTGAATCATCTCTTTAGAATTTACACTGTTACCTTACATGGACACCTTAAGTCTTGGATTAGTTGGCGGCTCCTGGGTGCATCTAACACATGGCACAGTTAAGCAAATGTGCAGAAAGCCCTTAATTTCAGGTACCAATGTGTAATGTGCTACTTTCTCTAAGGAAATGTATAAAAAGTAGCAAGGTATATAATTTTTAAAGTGCACTTAAATTCCACTAGTCTTTGAATGTTAGTATGTTGAATGGGGTATATTTAAAGTTAATGCTATTATACCTTAAAATGTAATAAATACCAATATAATAATCTCCACGTTAAGTAAGGATTTTCCACTATTTGATGTTACAGGTAATGCTCCTTTGCAATTTGTAAAATGCAAAGAAATTTGATCTGTCATCCTTAGGCCTAGGAAATGCACAGGATGGGGGAGACCCACATGGGCTGGATTTGCACACGGAACGCTGTGGCTCGTGCTCAGCACTTGGGAGTTGCTTGTTGGCCTGGTTTTCATTTGTGATGCCCCATTCCTCCATTCCAAGGTGACTTAAGTGGGAAGAGAAGAAGCCACAGCAAGAGGACACAGGGCCCAACAGAGGACACTGAGGCAGAGGACACACCCCGGAAAAGGCTCAGGACCGGCAAGCGTGGTCGGCAGGTAACTGTCCAGGCTCGTCTGGCCAGAGGGGTGATGCTGTGTGACCCCAGTGGCCTTGTCTCCCTAATGGCTGCAGATGGGATACGGGAGGCTTGCCTCTCAGTTCTCCCCGGGTGGTGCTTAGGGGGTGTCCTTCTGGACGCAGTGAGGCTGCTTTCCTCCTAGGACCCCTGGAGGAGGCTGCAGGTGGGAGCATGTTCCTACCTGTCGGGACTTCAGTGCAAACTGCTGATACTGTCAGCTGAGAGTTGAAACAGATTTTGAGTTTATATTTATTATTTTATTATAAGAGTTTGCACAGAGTAGTTGTATATTTTTGATTTTGAGTAAAGCTTCCTGCTGTCTTTTACTGATCTAAATTAAGAAATTGGTCTTTTTCTTGTTTTATTTTGAAGAATGGAAAATAAATCACATATATTGCTGAAGTGTAAATATGTGGACACTGAAATCGTATGTCTTATTTCTCGAAAGCCCTGTTTACAGTTCCCACGAGCAGGCATGGCCCACCTACCCCGTGATCTGGCCTGCAGAGCATAGTTCCTGGGCATCTGTCTGGCAAGGTCGCTAGTGGGCTGGTGTCTAGCAGTGAGGTTGGCGACCTCACCTTGGGTTACCTGCAGCCACCTGGGAGCAGCCTCTGTGGCCCCTGCTGTTTGAGCAGCTCTTTGCTGGCAGCCATACTGACACTGGTTGCTTTGAAATACTTGTATGAATGATTTACCTAAAATAAGTAATTTAAATTTCAATGTCCTTGGACATTGGAAATAGCAAAATTCCCATTTGGTAGCTGGGTAAACATGTTTTTTACTAACCAGTAGCTTAGGATAAAAAGGGAAGCGGCGTCTCCCCTGGTTTGGTTTTTATAAACTTAAATGAGCCGTAGTGTGTGTGATTGCTGATACGCTTTGACTACTCTGCCAGGGACCATAACCTTTCTGTGTGCTGTGTACCTCTCATACCTCTCACCTTGTCCTCAGGCCTGTGACCATCCTAATGGTCCCATGCAGGTCGGGGGTGAGTCTGAGAACTCAGCCTCTGGGGTGGCAGTTGGCCCTAAGGCAGTACCGCCCCAGAGCACTGGAGAGAGGTCACCTCCAGACGCATTGCTCAGATTCTGAGTACCAGACAGTGTTCATTCTTTCTCATCTGTGAAGTGTGCTTTATCAATAGCCTTTGCTTGTGAGGCATACCCAAGGTGCACCTCCCAGCTGGAAACCCTCAGTACAGTGACGGGGGATGGTGGCAGATGTGACGAGGGCCACTCTGAGTTGACTGGCAACCTCTCAGGCAGCAGGGGTGATTTCCTCCAGGTCACTTTCCACTTTGCATTCAGCGGGAGCTTGGGAAGCATATTGGACATGGCTCGTTTGCAGTGTCTTCTGCATCATGACTTGCTGGTGACTTGCCTGGGGAGCCTTGGCCGGGTGAGAGCCAGGCCCCAGGAACGCCACTGGCTTCTGCAGGTGGGAAGAGCGCAGGCTGTGTGGCAACTCAGCCTTTGGGCAACCTGTTTGAGTTCACACAGTCGGTTCCCCTTCATTTCCTTTGTCTTCCTTTTCCTTGTTTCTAACAACAGAGAGAGTCGATCCCAGACAGAATGGCCCGAATGAGCTCCTGCAAGGCAGCAGAGCCGGCCTCCTTGCCCAAGGGCCAGGCAGGTAATGTTGGTGGGCTGTCCTTGTGGGACCTTCCAGGCGGGGCTGAGCTGGGGGACAGGCCTCCAGTGGGGTTGGGAGGCTGGGCTGGGAGGGGCCCGGGGCCTCAGAGGGATCCACAGTCAAGCTAAGACCTGGAGGATAAGGTGGGAAGGAGGGGCTTGTGCAAAGTAAACCGTTTCAAAGTAGTTGTTTTAGGGATTCAGTTAAATTTTATTGAAGTTACCTTTCTACAGATTCTTGGCTTTATTGTTTTCAATTTAAAATTACACTAAAATGATTTAAGCCAGGGATGTCCAGGCTTCTCTCTTGATGCCAATTATTGTTGTAAATTTCCCCACTTTTCAACATCTGATCTGCATGTGTATTAGCTAAAAGTAAAAGTAATGACTAGTTATTTCTATTTCAAATGTTGAAGAAACTAGCTTCAAGCATTTGTGCAAAATAACTGTTGAAACAATGAAGGGGAACCAAGCTACTTTTTACCTTTCTTTCTTTTTTTTTTTTTTGACATGTCTGTCTGATTGTTTATTAAATAAAGACAGTTTACCATCTCCAACTCTTAATTTGAAAGGAAAACAAAATTTAAGGGAAAAAGTAAGTGAATATTGGAAATGGTTGTTTCCCTTGTTTAGCAGAAGGTGCTGTACTGGTTTTTAAAAATCATTTGAACAGACTATTAAAAATAAAGACATTTGTGAGCAGTTTGAGCACTGAGTGGATATTTGATGATACAAAGGGATTGTTCCTTGTAATGATATTATGGTTATACCTGAAACCATATGTTTCAGAGATATGTACTAAACACTTTTTATGAGTGAAATGCTAAGTTGGGGATGTGCTCCAGAAGGGCCTGGCCAGGGGTATGTGGAGCAAGGTGAGGATGGAGCTGTGCTGGCCCCAGGTCATTGGCTCTGGGGACCAGGTAGGGTGGCTTTGGGGTTCATTGTACGGTTTATCTGCCTTCTTTTACGCTCAGGTTTTCCACAGTAAAAAGTTAAGCCCTTAGTATAACAAAGGAGCCCAGAAGATTCTTTTTTAGAACTTCATTTATTAGAGGGGTAATTTTAAAGCAGTGAAGAGATTGAGGGTTTAAGATTTCAAACTTTATAAACCAAAATTGTTTTACAGCAACGAAACATCTGTCCGATGCATGCAAGCCACTGAAGAAGCGGAATCGGGCATCCACAGCAGCGTCGTCCACTCTTGGGTTTAGCAAAAGCTCATCTCCTTCTGCATCTTTAACTGAGAATGAGGTAAAGTGATAATGACCTTGGCGTTGCTGTGAGGGCCTCTAGTCACCTAAGTTGGGGTGTGAGTAAAAGTGGTATTCTCCACAAATGTGGGTGAGTTTTAGGTTCTCTAAACTATGTATAAGTCAATAAATTTTAGTCTATTTGAGCACTTCAAATATAAATGCACACACACACAGTGTACATATAAATGCATGTGGATATCCTTCAGTACTGATACAGTTTACTTGTCCTTGAACTCTGTCTCTAAAATGTTGTGTTCCATAAAGCCCTCGCCCTGGGATCCCCCGTGGCCGTGAGTGTGCTCCAGGCCTGGCGACACAGTGCGTCAGTGGGGCTGCCTCTGGCCGCTGCACTGACCCGGCTGGGGCGAGGGACAGTTCACACACTGTGCCGGGTTTCTGTGGCTCTCTGGCCCTGGCTCGTGGAGGAATGCCCTCGTGCCTTCTATGTTTATTTGTTGGAAACACTATGATCTTGAGTAGTGAGTGAGGATGTTTAGAACCAGTGTGTTTTCTTAAAAGGCAGAAGTTTGCCAGAGGCTTCACCAGTATACCAAATCTAGAAAAGTGGCCCTTTTCAATGCCAAGCTTATTTACAAGCGAGCTGGTTTCCCTAAAAAAATAAGTGGTCTGTCATCGTATCGCATTTTGTCAGCTTGGACTGCTGCCGCCGAACGGTTAGTGGGCAGGAGGATGACAGGGTGGATGTGAGTCAGGTGTGTGCTTGCCTCCGGGCCTTTACCCCTCTCTCCCAGGGCCCCTGTGCTACCAGCCAAGATGGCGGGCCATGTCTGTGGTGTCTGCTGTCCCATCGTCTGCGTTAGGGATTCAGATGCATATGCCATGTTGCTTATTTGTGGTGAGAAGACTTCCGTCTTGTTCTGCTGTGGTGTCCCTTAATGTGGAAGACCATGACTTCGTCTCACCTGTGGGGGGATGAGGCACTGGGGGACTGTCACAGGCATCTGTAGCTTAGTGAACCTGTGCCAATGAGGGGCACCCCGACTGAGGTCCTGGCGAGTCAGGCAGCTGTCACTGGGCAGATCCTGCTGCCCTTGCTCTGCAGGCCACTTCCTGGTGTCCCTTGCAGCCAGCTGACAGTGCTGTGGCCAGAAGCCGGAGCTCAGGCAAGGTTGCTGGCTGGCCGCCTCAGATCAGTCTGTAACTGGCAGCTCAGCTCTTCCCTAGTGTCAGCCTCAACCTGAGGCAAGGCCCTGATTGGGTGTGTCAGCCCGGGCCGGGTGACACCTTCTGAGGGACACATCGTGCCTGACTCCACCCCACCTGGCAGGGAGGCTAGAAAATGACATTGCCCTCCTACATGATGCTCAATGGACATTCCAGAAATAAGTTCCTGAACCTTGTAGAGCAGCCATGCAGATGAAAATGCTGGATTTGTACTTGAAATAAACATTGGCATGTTCAGTGAATCATCTCTTTAGAATTTACACTGTTACCTTACATGGACACCTTAAGTCTTGGATTAGTTGGCGGCTCCTGGGTGCATCTAACACATGGCACAGTTAAGCAAATGTGCAGAAAGCCCTTAATTTCAGGTACCAATGTGTAATGTGCTACTTTCTCTAAGGAAATGTATAAAAAGTAGCAAGGTATATAATTTTTAAAGTGCACTTAAATTCCACTAGTCTTTGAATGTTAGTATGTTGAATGGGGTATATTTAAAGTTAATGCTATTATACCTTAAAATGTAATAAATACCAATATAATAATCTCCACGTTAAGTAAGGATTTTCCACTATTTGATGTTACAGGTAATGCTCCTTTGCAATTTGTAAAATGCAAAGAAATTTGATCTGTCATCCTTAGGCCTAGGAAATGCACAGGATGGGGGAGACCCACATGGGCTGGATTTGCACACGGAACGCTGTGGCTCGTGCTCAGCACTTGGGAGTTGCTTGTTGGCCTGGTTTTCATTTGTGATGCCCCATTCCTCCATTCCAAGGTGACTTAAGTGGGAAGAGAAGAAGCCACAGCAAGAGGACACAGGGCCCAACAGAGGACACTGAGGCAGAGGACACACCCCGGAAAAGGCTCAGGACCGGCAAGCGTGGTCGGCAGGTAACTGTCCAGGCTCGTCTGGCCAGAGGGGTGATGCTGTGTGACCCCAGTGGCCTTGTCTCCCTAATGGCTGCAGATGGGATACGGGAGGCTTGCCTCTCAGTTCTCCCCGGGTGGTGCTTAGGGGGTGTCCTTCTGGACGCAGTGAGGCTGCTTTCCTCCTAGGACCCCTGGAGGAGGCTGCAGGTGGGAGCATGTTCCTACCTGTCGGGACTTCAGTGCAAACTGCTGATACTGTCAGCTGAGAGTTGAAACAGATTTTGAGTTTATATTTATTATTTTATTATAAGAGTTTGCACAGAGTAGTTGTATATTTTTGATTTTGAGTAAAGCTTCCTGCTGTCTTTTACTGATCTAAATTAAGAAATTGGTCTTTTTCTTGTTTTATTTTGAAGAATGGAAAATAAATCACATATATTGCTGAAGTGTAAATATGTGGACACTGAAATCGTATGTCTTATTTCTCGAAAGCCCTGTTTACAGTTCCCACGAGCAGGCATGGCCCACCTACCCCGTGATCTGGCCTGCAGAGCATAGTTCCTGGGCATCTGTCTGGCAAGGTCGCTAGTGGGCTGGTGTCTAGCAGTGAGGTTGGCGACCTCACCTTGGGTTACCTGCAGCCACCTGGGAGCAGCCTCTGTGGCCCCTGCTGTTTGAGCAGCTCTTTGCTGGCAGCCATACTGACACTGGTTGCTTTGAAATACTTGTATGAATGATTTACCTAAAATAAGTAATTTAAATTTCAATGTCCTTGGACATTGGAAATAGCAAAATTCCCATTTGGTAGCTGGGTAAACATGTTTTTTACTAACCAGTAGCTTAGGATAAAAAGGGAAGCGGCGTCTCCCCTGGTTTGGTTTTTATAAACTTAAATGAGCCGTAGTGTGTGTGATTGCTGATACGCTTTGACTACTCTGCCAGGGACCATAACCTTTCTGTGTGCTGTGTACCTCTCATACCTCTCACCTTGTCCTCAGGCCTGTGACCATCCTAATGGTCCCATGCAGGTCGGGGGTGAGTCTGAGAACTCAGCCTCTGGGGTGGCAGTTGGCCCTAAGGCAGTACCGCCCCAGAGCACTGGAGAGAGGTCACCTCCAGACGCATTGCTCAGATTCTGAGTACCAGACAGTGTTCATTCTTTCTCATCTGTGAAGTGTGCTTTATCAATAGCCTTTGCTTGTGAGGCATACCCAAGGTGCACCTCCCAGCTGGAAACCCTCAGTACAGTGACGGGGGATGGTGGCAGATGTGACGAGGGCCACTCTGAGTTGACTGGCAACCTCTCAGGCAGCAGGGGTGATTTCCTCCAGGTCACTTTCCACTTTGCATTCAGCGGGAGCTTGGGAAGCATATTGGACATGGCTCGTTTGCAGTGTCTTCTGCATCATGACTTGCTGGTGACTTGCCTGGGGAGCCTTGGCCGGGTGAGAGCCAGGCCCCAGGAACGCCACTGGCTTCTGCAGGTGGGAAGAGCGCAGGCTGTGTGGCAACTCAGCCTTTGGGCAACCTGTTTGAGTTCACACAGTCGGTTCCCCTTCATTTCCTTTGTCTTCCTTTTCCTTGTTTCTAACAACAGAGAGAGTCGATCCCAGACAGAATGGCCCGAATGAGCTCCTGCAAGGCAGCAGAGCCGGCCTCCTTGCCCAAGGGCCAGGCAGGTAATGTTGGTGGGCTGTCCTTGTGGGACCTTCCAGGCGGGGCTGAGCTGGGGGACAGGCCTCCAGTGGGGTTGGGAGGCTGGGCTGGGAGGGGCCCGGGGCCTCAGAGGGATCCACAGTCAAGCTAAGACCTGGAGGATAAGGTGGGAAGGAGGGGCTTGTGCAAAGTAAACCGTTTCAAAGTAGTTGTTTTAGGGATTCAGTTAAATTTTATTGAAGTTACCTTTCTACAGATTCTTGGCTTTATTGTTTTCAATTTAAAATTACACTAAAATGATTTAAGCCAGGGATGTCCAGGCTTCTCTCTTGATGCCAATTATTGTTGTAAATTTCCCCACTTTTCAACATCTGATCTGCATGTGTATTAGCTAAAAGTAAAAGTAATGACTAGTTATTTCTATTTCAAATGTTGAAGAAACTAGCTTCAAGCATTTGTGCAAAATAACTGTTGAAACAATGAAGGGGAACCAAGCTACTTTTTACCTTTCTTTCTTTTTTTTTTTTTTGACATGTCTGTCTGATTGTTTATTAAATAAAGACAGTTTACCATCTCCAACTCTTAATTTGAAAGGAAAACAAAATTTAAGGGAAAAAGTAAGTGAATATTGGAAATGGTTGTTTCCCTTGTTTAGCAGAAGGTGCTGTACTGGTTTTTAAAAATCATTTGAACAGACTATTAAAAATAAAGACATTTGTGAGCAGTTTGAGCACTGAGTGGATATTTGATGATACAAAGGGATTGTTCCTTGTAATGATATTATGGTTATACCTGAAACCATATGTTTCAGAGATATGTACTAAACACTTTTTATGAGTGAAATGCTAAGTTGGGGATGTGCTCCAGAAGGGCCTGGCCAGGGGTATGTGGAGCAAGGTGAGGATGGAGCTGTGCTGGCCCCAGGTCATTGGCTCTGGGGACCAGGTAGGGTGGCTTTGGGGTTCATTGTACGGTTTATCTGCCTTCTTTTACGCTCAGGTTTTCCACAGTAAAAAGTTAAGCCCTTAGTATAACAAAGGAGCCCAGAAGATTCTTTTTTAGAACTTCATTTATTAGAGGGGTAATTTTAAAGCAGTGAAGAGATTGAGGGTTTAAGATTTCAAACTTTATAAACCAAAATTGTTTTACAGCAACGAAACATCTGTCCGATGCATGCAAGCCACTGAAGAAGCGGAATCGGGCATCCACAGCAGCGTCGTCCACTCTTGGGTTTAGCAAAAGCTCATCTCCTTCTGCATCTTTAACTGAGAATGAGGTAAAGTGATAATGACCTTGGCGTTGCTGTGAGGGCCTCTAGTCACCTAAGTTGGGGTGTGAGTAAAAGTGGTATTCTCCACAAATGTGGGTGAGTTTTAGGTTCTCTAAACTATGTATAAGTCAATAAATTTTAGTCTATTTGAGCACTTCAAATATAAATGCACACACACACAGTGTACATATAAATGCATGTGGATATCCTTCAGTACTGATACAGTTTACTTGTCCTTGAACTCTGTCTCTAAAATGTTGTGTTCCATAAAGCCCTCGCCCTGGGATCCCCCGTGGCCGTGAGTGTGCTCCAGGCCTGGCGACACAGTGCGTCAGTGGGGCTGCCTCTGGCCGCTGCACTGACCCGGCTGGGGCGAGGGACAGTTCACACACTGTGCCGGGTTTCTGTGGCTCTCTGGCCCTGGCTCGTGGAGGAATGCCCTCGTGCCTTCTATGACTTTGGGCCCACGGCTGGGTCCTTCAGATTCTGGCATATTCTTAGATACTTCACTGTTGAGGTGAGTCAGAACTGCCATGTAATACAAGTCCAATTTTCTGGGTTTGCAAGACTTGCATAGCAGAATAGCCGTCTGTGGCTCTTACCACCATTGCCTCGTGACATTGGCTTCATCATCAAGGCTGTCTTTGCCATTGCTAAAACAAGATGAAAACAGCCTCAGAATGCGGGCCTGACCCTGTTCCGTCCAGAGGGAGTTTCGGGTTCCCCATGTCAGTGACCTACCCGAGGGGCTTATTTCCATGTTTTAATTTCTTGCTCTTTTGTTCCCTGTGATTTTCTTCTTCTCATCATAGACCTGAGTCCTGCTTTTAGACTCTTTATGAGGAGATGTTAAACGGGGGCTTTTTTGGAACGGGTGGTAAGGCAGGGGTGTGTAGCGCCCGCACCCTGGTGGGTCAGAAGGAGGCGGGTCCTCCTGCCCCTCTGCCTTTGCCACTACTTCCCTTAGATGAGGGGTGGGCTCCCTGCAGAGCGGCGTCTCCACCACTCGGCTTAACTGAGTGGGGCCCTGCTCAGGGACTCGAGGCAGCCCAGCCGGTGAGGAGCTGCCCGTGCGCAGGGCTGGGCCTTCGTGTAGTTGGGTACGTGTAGGCACTGAAACATTGCCTGCATTTGGGCACAGTCGAGAAAATGCAGCGAGAATTCCTCACTGAACTTCTAGGAGCTCATTGAAATATGGAAGGAAAGGCAAAGTCTATACAAAATATTTTTCCTTTTCCGTTTTTTTCTTGTCCAAGTTCATATTAGTATCCAAACAAATGGAAGGTGGTCTGCAACTCTAACGAAGAATACTACAATAAAGTTTCTGTCCCATAGGCCCTTTCACTTAAGTCGGCTTTTTTGTTCAAATATTTAATGAGCTTTTCTTGCATCATATTTAAGTTGAGCTTTCATACTGTTGTCAGATAAAATAGAAAGAATAACACACAGGCCACTGATATCTTGTCAGTCACTCCTGATGTGTGGTGAAGGCTTGGGTTCAGAGCAGCGTGCCAGGGGGCTGGTGGGCTGGCTGGAGGTGAGCACAGTCTTAGGCCTGCCTGGTGGTCTGGCATTCATCTTGACCAGGGTGAGTTCAGTCCTCTGACTTTCACTTTTGCTCTGAACTTGGGAAGACTTGGATGAAACATTTTACAATTGTTAGACTTAATTGATTTTTAATTCTTTAGAAGCTCAGCAATGGACAGGTTACTAAATACACTAATGGTATATACTGAGTGCATTAAAATCCTACACACCTTCCTGCATTCTTAGGTGATACACAGATTCCGTAGTGTGCGTTCAGCTCCTTGTATGCAAACACTGCAGCTATTCTTTTCTCTCAGGCCACTTCTGCGTGGCTTGTATAAATCTGCCATTAGAGTTTATTTTTATAGGCTATAATCACATGGGTTGCTGCTCACTGAAACCACTCGGGTGAACAGAAAGGCTTAGCTGTCACACATAAGCACCACCCAGCTACAGCATGTATGGCACACAGCATGGTGACTGCCTGACAGCGCGTGAGGCTGAGGGTGGTGCTGGTGCAGTTCTCGGGGAGCTAATGATCGCGGGGATGCCGTCGGGCTGGCGGGCACTTAGCCAGCCCCGTGACCTTTGCGTGTTTGTGCCGCAGGGATTTTCATAGGGTTGGTGTTCAAGACACCTTAGGTCAAGTTGTAGTTTAAATTCTATGTGATAATCACTTACTACATTAGCCCTCTACCACCAGTGAGGAGAATTGGTGACAGCCACACATCTGCATGATGGAGGCGTGTGAGGGAATCGGTATGATTTAAGTGTTTTGTAACTTCGTTTCTTGTTCCCTCAGTAGAGCAAATTCTTACTTTCTCGCCTTCACTGGTAACAGCTTTTATGGGAGCCCACATCAGTCACGCTGGACTTGAGCTCAGCTGCCCTGCACCGCGCTTAGCGTGGTGGGATGCTCCGCGAGGCCCGTCGCGGCGGCGCAATGGCACACCGATGACGGCGCCGTCGCGGCCGCTCTGTGGAGGACACGCGTAGTCTGTTTGCACTGCTATTAATAGACACACACAATGGAGAAAACATAACAAATTTTAAGACCAAGGTAAGATACCTAAACAAGGCCATTTAACCAGCCACATCCATCTCATAATAGAAACACATTCATATTCCAGTGCTCAGTGTAGACTCATGTCGGAAGGACGCCCTTCAGCTGGGGGCTGTCCCGGACCTGCGACAGTGCCACACCAAGGGCTTCGTCCTCCTCTGGCTCGTAACTTACTGAGATGCCACCTTCTGCACCTCCAGAAACAAAGAGCAAGTGGCACATTAATGGAGGCTCGCCAGCAACGCTCACTGCCGGGATGTCTTCAGTGCTATAGACAGGAGACCAATTTCCAACACAAAAGGCAGGAAGAGTCTGGATTCTGTCTTTTTTACTAAGCAGTTTTACTATGACACTAGCTATGGTAACTTTGTAGGGCAAATCCCATTTATGAGACCATTGTGAGCATTTAATTCTTGACTCTGACCTGTGCTGGGGACACCGTAGTTGGTTATCTACACCAACTGCCTCATCAGTTGCGTTTGTAGGACATCAGCCATCGTATTCAGTGTCTCAATCTTGGGTCCTACCTGGCACCGTGCCCCAGGTCCATATGTCTGCGCGGTGAGGAGAGGCCTTGTGCACCCTCCTGACCTTGGGGGCAGAGGCAGGCGCTGGTCACCTTACCTGCGGGCAGTGCTCGGCTCCTTCCCAGCAGATGCTTCAGATGTGTTTTACCTTTAATGGAAGTTTATGACTAGTACTTGTGTTCTAAACCATGAAGTATGTGACGCATGTAAAACACTTAGGTGCCTGGCGCCTTGCAAGGACTCGGTGGTTCGCTGTTGTGACAGTAATGGTTATAACAATAAAAGTAATAAAATCACCATCATTCCATTTTTATCTAAAAATATAGATTTTGCTTTGGCATGAAAAGTGGTCCTCTTGACTGCACTATGCACATGGGGATAAAATAAACATAGAAGTGGCAGATGCTGGGCTGGTTTGAGTGACGCTCAGGTACAGGCCTGAGGCTGAGGGCTGGCTGGGCAGCCCTGCCTGAGTGTAGTGGGCACATGGTCTCACAGGCAGGCCTAGTCCTCGGTTCCGGGATGCTCAGGACTAAACTAGGGCTCAAAGAAAACCACTAACTAAATCAAAAGGCAGTATAAACATGGCTCCAGTGCAGGGAACAGCCACCCAAAGTAAAGACTTCAGCCTGACTTTGGACAAGAATTGAGACTTTATTTGAGATTGTTGCAGATGAATTTCAGTGAGTGGTCAGCCGGCTTCCAGCATGTGCTTGGTGCATTCCTTTCCATAAAGAAGGGGACAGCTGTCAAAGTGACTGAATGCCATGCCCATGGGCAGCAGCAGCCGAGGCCAGTCAGGTGGACAGGTTCTTAGGTCATATGTGTTCCTCGCCTCAGAGGCGTTGTCCCCTGGGGTGTTGGCAGGTGGCCTACTGGGCGTCCTGCGGAGAGCATAGTCCCACGTGGGAGGGCAGGACCCTCTGCTCCAAACCCAGGAGTAGTCTGGCTGAGAAGTGTGGTCAGAGGGCCACTGCGGCTTCTGGAAGGTGAGTGGGAAAGGCACCTGTTCTGAAAGAGCTTAGGGACAAGCAGGAGTTTGCTGAGAGCACAAGCTACTAATTTAACATGGAAACCTTCATTTCCTAAAGGGATCAAAGTCACACGGATGCATTCTGGGGTCATGACATTTGAACCGCCCATTGCGATGCACTTCGTTTATGCTGCACGTGGCGCCATTGCCCCATCTGCTGGCTTCAGAACCATCCTGCACATACCACGTTTGTGCTGGTGAGGGAGGTAGCTGTACCTAAGGGTATGAAAGCTTAGGTCATAGCTGTGCTAAGAGTGAAAGTTCGCCACCAAAACAGAGCAGCTTGGAGCAGGGCGGGGAGCAGGGCTCTCTGCCTCCTGGGGGGCCTCCACTTCATAAGCCTCTAGCTATCTGTCTGCGCTTGGGAGAAGGACCTTGGGCATAGTTGCATCTCAACATGCTTGCTATATGTCGTATTTTATACACCTCCCAACTGAAAATAACCCCGTGCTCTTAAGAGAGAGGGTGTTCCTAAAAGCCAATAAGAAGCCTGAGCAGAGTTCCAGGAGCTCAAGGCAAAGGGTGTCTCTGCACTGTGTGTACCCCCCTCAAGGGAGGTGGGCCTGCTTCCAGAGGATATCTGTGACGGTCCTGGCTTGAGAGGTGTCTGACTCTGGTTTTCTCAGAAAATTCATGGAGAAGCATGGGGAGGTTTAAACAGACTGCTCAGGGATTAGGGACAGGGAGACAGGCATTTCCAGAGGCTGCAGTTGGGGAGCATCTGGATACACCAGAGGAAAGGATGGAGAAAACTGGCCGAAACCGTCCATACAGTCCATTACTCTTGGCCTCTTTGGCCCTGACCTGCTCTCCCAAGTTTGTGACCAAAGGTGTATGAGGAGGGCAGGCAGAGCTGGCATTTGCCTGACGGTGCGCAATGCCGACAGCAACAAAGAGCCTGTCTGAGAAACGTTCTGCAAAGGAAAGAAGATTGTAAACGAGTGGTCTCGTCCCAGTGTGGAGAGCGTGCCTCTGTGGGTATGAACTAGAGAACCTCCTCCAGCCATTTCTCGGCCCGAAGTCCAATGTGAGTGGATGTGGGGTGTGGCCACCCCAGAGCTGTGGCTTTTCCTGCGCAGCAGCGCGAGCGCTTGTAAGGAAACCTTGCCTGTGGTCCTGTAGGAGGAGGAGAGGGCTTGGTGACACCGCGTGTGTGGCCGAGGGGGCGAGGCCAGGGCTCCGGTCTGAAGGGCACGTGAGGAGCCTGCCTTGGGCGCGCTCCCACAGCTTCTGTCTCGCTTCACTTCTCAGCAGGCCTGCTCCATCCTCTGGCCCCTTTAAGTCACTCGTGTGTAAGGTGGCGCCAGCCAGGGAGACGTTTACGTGGCAGTTTTTACTGACTGACTGCCTGCAAAACTAGTGCTTCTTGCTTTTAAAGTCAAGAGTTTCATCTCAGTTTTTAAAAATTTATAAAACAGAGAATGTAACCTCTGTTTTCCTTTTAGATTTTGAATCCATAGTCTTTTCCCAAAAGAATTCAAATACCACTCTTGTCAGAAGAGTTTTCTCAACATGCTCACTGAGCTGTTACTGGCTTCTTATTGGCTTTTAAGGTTTTGTTTTCAGAAATCCGATTCGTATACATTTTAGGGTTTTTGGTCAGTGAGACTGACTTTAATGCTGTAATTTCGCTATCTAACCTAGAATATTAGAAACCACCATTAATTGGTTCGCCTGCAATGGAGAACCGACTGTCATCCAGGGATACCGTTACGTGTGTTCATCCTGCCCCACAGCCGACGGGTGAGGGGCACATTGCCCTTGTCTTGAGAGATGCCTGCTAACTGCGGGTTCTGTGTTAACTCTACAGGGAGAGCTGTTCTCCGCCCTACATGTAGCCATGGGGCTTCACATACAGTTCTCTGGCAGATACTTACTGTGCAGTGTGCTAACCAGGCATGTTGTCTCTTTGAGGACTGATCGGGGTGGTGGGGGTGGCCCAGCTGCAGGAGCTAATGGAAGCCACTGAAGCCACAACTAGAGCTTTGCTGGTTTTCAAGTCCACCACAGGCAGGGCACAGCCTGTTAAAAGTTTGCAGCTGGCTGGCCCAGGCCCCTCTGCGGCCCACTCTCCAAGGTATACCATTGCAGAGGGCACAGCTGGGACAAAGCTGGGCTTGATAGGACATTTCAGAGACTCAGTTTTAGCTGTGACAAGGGCTGGCCTCAATCTGGAGCAGCAGCGACAAGACCTGACTGTGTGGCAGCCACCCCGTAGCTCCTCTGGGCTGTCGGATGACACAGGAGACACCTAGGCTAGAGGTGGCGTGGTGCGCAGTGAGGGTGTGTGAGCTGGCTGTGTGTCCTTGGTGACTCAGCTCAGCCCTAGCATTTAGGGGCAGCTAGCAAGGTTCCTGTCTGTGCCACCTAGAAGGGTCGCTTAATAAAAGTCAAGGTGAACTGTAGTATTTCAGGTGATAAATGACTAGATGAAAGATCACTTTAATTCCACTCTAATTTTTCACTGTGCTTTTACCCTACAAGACCTGTTGGAGGCTAATCTTTTGACTTTAGGCTCATTTGATTCGCAGAGCATAGGATCGTTGTCATCTGAGAATCGGAGATACCGCATGAGAGTTCTCCTGGTCACCATCTGTTTTTTCCTTTACTAACGTGTTAACTTAAACATAAAAATAATGTTGGTTCATAGAAATATTTCTTGTTTAAGGTCTGTAATTGTACTTCAAAAAATGTAGTATTCAACTTGTGAAGGGATTTGCTTTGTCAAAAAAACTTAAAAGTTCACTATGTGTAACACTGGGGGAGGCGCAGGGACCTTCCAGTCCTGGCACAGAGGACTCGGATCTGCCTGAGTCACCTGTGTGGCCACACCGTTCCCAGAATTTGGCTCACATATGTCCCCTGGGTCACACCTGTTCGTCCTCCGTCAACACACTAAGGAGGCCGCACGTTCCCAGCCCCTGGAGTAATGCATTTCTCACACACACAGTCCATCTGGTACTGTCACGTGCTGACTAGAGTAGAGGGGGCGTCTCCCGACTGAGACCCCGAGCGATCAGGAACAAGCTGCTGGGGGTCAGGGCCCAAGCGTGGTGGTGGTGGACTCGGGAAGCATCGGGGGAGTTCTTGACGGAGTCTGTGTCCGTTCAGTCACCACGTGTTTCTTTTTCCAAATGCACCCTGTTGGATACGGACTAGCCTGTAGATGCCGTAGACTGAGGTTTGGGCCTGTTGGGCCCCTACGGGCGAATGTCGCTGTCACATACGGCGTCTCCGAGTAAGTACTGTCCCCTGGCGCACGTGCCGGTGGGGCGCCCGCACAGCCCTTCTTGCGGGCTGTTGGACCCTGGCTGTGTGCTGGTTGTCTGCTCAGCTGCTGGGAAGGTCCTGGGGTGAGAGTTGGCCTCTCTTGCGACCTGTGTCATGGACTGTAATGTTGTAAGGTCTGTGTTCTGTATGTGTATCTTAGACCCTGATCAGGAAACAAGCCTCATGTGTGTCTCAAACACTTTTATTTCCATTTAAAATGTGTACCCAGTGTTTTATCTCCTCAAAACATTGTTAATTTAGGAAATATCTCCAAGTGGAAACGTGGTAACTTTCTCTGTAAATCTTAAATAAAAGGTGCTGTTCCTTCCTTTGACCCAGGACTGGTCTGTGTTTTCTGTCTTTCTCTCCATGCATTTTTTTTTTTTTTTTTTTTTGCTTTTAAATTTGCTCTCCAGCCAAGTTGAGGAAAGAACATGGGTCGGGGGGTAGGGCACAGGGCCCTCATCCCACTAGCCCCTGTCGAAGGCCCTTGCCTTCGGCCTCAGTTCCTCCCTCAGGCGATGTGGCCTCGGGCCCAGTGCCCAGCCCCCGTGACCCCAGAGCTGACCCCCAGGGCGTGTTCAGGCTGGGTCTGAGCTCAGAGCACGCCTTGGAGCTGCCTTTCTGGACGTTACCATAAAGGAGGTGAGCTGAAGGGGGCTCTGGGCCTTGTGACAGCCTCAAAGGACGAGGCTTGTAATTTAGGGATCATTCATGCTGCTATTTCCATTGTCCTGGAAAAGGCGAGGAAGTTGAGTTTAAAGGCAGCTTTCTTTCTCTTGAGACTGTTACCGGGATGTGGCAAACTGAGGAGAGCAGCTAGGCCGGACCAGCGAGCCGCACCCCTGCATGGGCACCAGCTGGAGCCCAGGACTCTGCAGACAGAGCCTACCCCTGACACTGACCTTAGTCAGCAGGGCCCTGAGCACACCGAGCTCAATCGGGAAAAGGCTGAGCAGGTCTGCTGTAGGACTGGGTGGACTGCCTGGCAGGTGGTTTTCAATGTGGTCCAGTTTCCAGTCCAGCTCTGTGTCACCAGCAAGCAGCCTGCATCACAGTTCACGTTGTCAGCACGGAGGCGGGCCACGCAGTGTGCCTTTGCTCTGCTGGGAAGTTCAGTTTTCAACACCTGCCTCACATCAAATTAGCACTAACTGTGTTGCTCTGTTTTTTAAAAAATCTGAGTTTGGTAATATAAGAGTTTTCTAATTAAAAATTTACTAATTTCTATCTAAAGATGTATCCTTAAAGGTCAAGTGAGGGCAAAACGCTGTGCTCAGTGATGAGGGATGGGCTCAGGCTCTTCTTGATGGTCTCTGAGAGACGAAGTACAACCTGTGAGTTGTTTCATCCTCTCAAAGATGCCCCCCCTTCCTCCTGGGCCTTCTGGACTCGGTGTTCACAGAGTGGCAGGCCCTACCTTGCCGTCCCAGCTTCCCCCACTGGCAGGGAAATGGGCAGTGGTGTGACCATCCGGGACACGGTTTTCTGGCCTCGGGGTTAGCCCTGTAGCATGTGAGCGTGCTTCTGGAACAGCGTGGTCTCCACCACAACAGTATGAGCAGGAAGGTCACGGCACGAGGCTCATGTTTTGACACTGTACTTTTGTTCTTTTAAAACCTTATTTGGCATTAATGCACTTCAGCAGACTGGGTAAGAAAGGTGCAGAGTCTCGGCCCCAAAGCCTATCAGAGCAAACTGGATTTTTACAGGAATTACTTCATTTCTGAGTGTTACTAAGAGTGTAGAGTCTTGTGCTCTTGCATGCATACATAATGAACATTAAGCAGGGTAAAGTCCATTTCTGAATTTCCGCACAGCCTGACACCCTATTTCCAGGGGAGGGCGTGTGCATGCACGGTGGGAGGTGAGCCCCAGTGGGCATGATTCTGACGCCCTGTGACCGCCCGCTGCCCTCTGCTCTAGTGAACTGTTGCCACCTCCTTCATCTCCAGGTCTCGGACGGCCCAGGAGACGAGCCCTTGGAGTCCCCATATGAAAGCGCAGATGAAACCCAGACCGAGGTGTCCGTGTCGTCTAAGAGGTCGGAGCGTGGCGCAGCCGCCAAGAAGGAGCATGTGTGTCAGGTGAGGGCGGCGGGGTTCCTGCCTGCCGTGGCCACAGGGGGCCTTCTGGTCTCTCCCTCATGCCAGGTGTGCTCCTGCCCTGGCTGCAGCCCCACCACCCCTTCTCCCCGCAGGTGTGCGAGCAGACCGGCAGCCTGGTGTTCTGCGAAGGGCCCTGCTGTGGAGCCTTCCACCTCTCCTGCCTCGGCCTCTCCCGGAGACCAGAAGGGAGGTTCTCCTGCAGTGAATGTGCTTCAGGTAAGTTTGTGGCAGCTGGGCATCCCCTCCAGCCCTGAATCCCCTCCCAGGTTGCCTCCTCAACTGTGCCCTGGCCCGCCTTCCAGGGAAGCGGCCCTGCCTGCCTGCCCACCCAGCCCCCCAGAGCTCCCTGGCTTCCATCTGCTTGGCACCTCCCGTGATGCTTGATGAGTGTGTTGCTGAAAATTTAGTTGGGTGTCAGGTGACTGGTGGAGTGCTTGGGGAATAGGCAGTGCGCCTGCATGAGCCTTGCTCTGCCCGTGAGGTGGCCGTGGTGGGGCACCGTTACTGCAGAGGGTACAGCATGACCAGGACAGGTCACCTGTGGAGCTCTTCAGTGAGATGCAGTGTGACCTGAGCTTCAGGCTCCATGCATGAACACCTCTGTATGTGGCCGAGGGTCGCTGCTTGTTGCAGTGCTTCGGGTTCACCACCACCGCATGACCTGGGGTCGATGGGAAGGCAGCTGCCCCGTGGCCCCTGCTGTCTCCTGGCTGGGCCAGAGCATGTCCTAGGTTGGGGAGAAACCTGGCATCTTCCATAGAGTTCCCTCGCACCAGGGCTGTCCAGGGAACGCTGCCACGTTTCTGGGGGCCTGTGTGCCTGTGATTATCAGTCATCTTTCATCACAGTTGGTTAACTGTTCTCAAGGAGGAGAGTGAAAGCCTTTGTTCAGAGGGGCCCCCCCTCCAAACCTTGGGCCACCTGGCATGGGTGTCCCACCTGGGCTGCTGAGCAGACTCTCTTGCCCCCATGTGAAGCTGGCCCCAGATCGCAGCAGAGCAGCCCTTGGTGGCGGGGAGGCTTTCTGAAGCACGCCTGGGCTGGTTGGCAAGGCTGCAAGGAGAGCCAGAGGCCTCGGCCCCATGGGCTGCCCAACAGAGTTGCTTGACCCAGTGGCTTGAGAACTACAGTGTAACTGTGCTGTTCACTCCTCTCCTGTCCTCTGTCCCTTCCTTTAACTGTCTGTTAGGGGTTCACTCATGTTTCGTGTGTAAGGAGAGCAAGGCAGACGTTAAGCGCTGTGTCGTATCACAGTGTGGGAAGTTTTACCACGACACATGTGTGAGGAGGTTCCCCCTGACCGTGTTTGAGAGCCGCGGCTTCCGCTGCCCCCTCCACAGCTGCGTGAGCTGCCATGCTTCCAACCCTTCCCACCCAAGACCCTCAAAAGGTACGGCAGCTGTCTGGCGTGTCACACGGGCACATGGAGGGCGGTGTGTCACCTTCACCTGTCATTTTTCTTTTCAGTGACAGTTGTCCTGTTACTTACTTCACAGAGGTTGGGTTTTGGGTTTTCTTCATGAAGGACCATCTTTCCTTCTTCCTGCCCTGATGGTCATCTTACAGATACTTAATTTCAGGGTGGGGAGCCTTGGAACCATTGTGATACATTCTATTTGATCTGGGTTTAATGGTCCTTCATATATGAGAAAAGTATCCTAAAATCAAGTTTGCGTGTTCAGGCTGGGTCTGAGCTCAGAGCACGCCTTGGAGCTGCCTTTCTGGACGTTACCATAAAGGAGGTGAGCTGAAGGGGGCTCTGGGCCTTGTGACAGCCTCAAAGGACGAGGCTTGTAATTTAGGGATCATTCATGCTGCTATTTCCATTGTCCTGGAAAAGGCGAGGAAGTTGAGTTTAAAGGCAGCTTTCTTTCTCTTGAGACTGTTACCGGGATGTGGCAAACTGAGGAGAGCAGCTAGGCCGGACCGGCGAGCCGCACCCCTGCGTGGGCACCAGCTGGAGCCCAGGACTCTGCAGACAGAGCCTACCCCTGACACTGACCTTAGTCAGCAGGGCCCTGAGCACACCGAGCTCAATCGGGAAAAGGCTGAGCAGGTCTGCTGTAGGACTGGGTGGACTGCCTGGCAGGTGGTTTTCAATGTGGTCCAGTTTCCAGTCCAGCTCTGTGTCACCAGCAAGCAGCCTGCATCACAGTTCACGTTGTCAGCACGGAGGCGGGCCACGCAGTGTGCCTTTGCTCTGCTGGGAAGTTCAGTTTTCAACACCTGCCTCACATCAAATTAGCACTAACTGTGTTGCTCTGTTTTTTAAAAAATCTGAGTTTGGTAATATAAGAGTTTTCTAATTAAAAATTTACTAATTTCTATCTAAAGATGTATCCTTAAAGGTCAAGTGAGGGCAAAACGCTGTGCTCAGTGATGAGGGATGGGCTCAGGCTCTTCTTGATGGTCTCTGAGAGACGAAGTACAACCTGTGAGTTGTTTCATCCTCTCAAAGATGCCCCCCCTTCCTCCTGGGCCTTCTGGACTCGGTGTTCACAGAGTGGCAGGCCCTACCTTGCCGTCCCAGCTTCCCCCACTGGCAGGGAAATGGGCAGTGGTGTGACCATCCGGGACACGGTTTTCTGGCCTCGGGATTAGCCCTGTAGCATGTGAGCGTGCTTCTGGAACAGCGTGGTCTCCACCACAACAGTATGAGCAGGAAGGTCACGGCACGAGGCTCATGTTTTGACACTGTACTTTTGTTCTTTTAAAACCTTATTTGGCATTAATGCACTTCAGCAGACTGGGTAAGAAAGGTGCAGAGTCTCGGCCCCAAAGCCTATCAGAGCAAACTGGATTTTTACAGGAATTACTTCATTTCTGAGTGTTACTAAGAGTGTAGAGTCTTGTGCTCTTGCATGCATACATAATGAACATTAAGCAGGGTAAAGTCCATTTCTGAATTTCCGCACAGCCTGACACCCTATTTCCAGGGGAGGGCGTGTGCATGCACGGTGGGAGGTGAGCCCCAGTGGGCATGATTCTGACGCCCTGTGACCGCCCGCTGCCCTCTGCTCTAGTGAACTGTTGCCACCTCCTTCATCTCCAGGTCTCGGACGGCCCAGGAGACGAGCCCTTGGAGTCCCCATATGAAAGCGCAGATGAAACCCAGACCGAGGTGTCCGTGTCGTCTAAGAGGTCGGAGCGTGGCGCAGCCGCCAAGAAGGAGCATGTGTGTCAGGTGAGGGCGGCGGGGTTCCTGCCTGCCGTGGCCACAGGGGGCCTTCTGGTCTCTCCCTCATGCCAGGTGTGCTCCTGCCCTGGCTGCAGCCCCACCACCCCTTCTCCCCGCAGGTGTGCGAGCAGACCGGCAGCCTGGTGTTCTGCGAAGGGCCCTGCTGTGGAGCCTTCCACCTCTCCTGCCTCGGCCTCTCCCGGAGACCAGAAGGGAGGTTCTCCTGCAGTGAATGTGCTTCAGGTAAGTTTGTGGCAGCTGGGCATCCCCTCCAGCCCTGAATCCCCTCCCAGGTTGCCTCCTCAACTGTGCCCTGGCCCGCCTTCCAGGGAAGCGGCCCTGCCTGCCTGCCCACCCAGCCCCCCAGAGCTCCCTGGCTTCCATCTGCTTGGCACCTCCCGTGATGCTTGATGAGTGTGTTGCTGAAAATTTAGTTGGGTGTCAGGTGACTGGTGGAGTGCTTGGGGAATAGGCAGTGCGCCTGCATGAGCCTTGCTCTGCCCGTGAGGTGGCCGTGGTGGGGCACCGTGACTGCAGAGGGTACAGCATGACCAGGACAGGTCACCTGTGGAGCTCTTCAGTGAGATGCAGTGTGACCTGAGCTTCAGGCTCCATGCATGAACACCTCTGTATGTGGCCGAGGGTCGCTGCTTGTTGCAGTGCTTCGGGTTCACCACCACCGCATGACCTGGGGTCGATGGGAAGGCAGCTGCCCCGTGGCCCCTGCTGTCTCCTGGCTGGGCCAGAGCATGTCCTAGGTTGGGGAGAAACCTGGCATCTTCCATAGAGTTCCCTCGCACCAGGGCTGTCCAGGGAACGCTGCCACGTTTCTGGGGGCCTGTGTGCCTGTGATTATCAGTCATCTTTCATCACAGTTGGTTAACTGTTCTCAAGGAGGAGAGTGAAAGCCTTTGTTCAGAGGGGCCCCCCCTCCAAACCTTGGGCCACCTGGCATGGGTGTCCCACCTGGGCTGCTGAGCAGACTCTCTTGCCCCCATGTGAAGCTGGCCCCAGATCGCAGCAGAGCAGCCCTTGGTGGCGGGGAGGCTTTCTGAAGCACGCCTGGGCTGGTTGGCAAGGCTGCAAGGAGAGCCAGAGGCCTCGGCCCCATGGGCTGCCCAACAGAGTTGCTTGACCCAGTGGCTTGAGAACTACAGTGTAACTGTGCTGTTCACTCCTCTCCTGTCCTCTGTCCCTTCCTTTAACTGTCTGTTAGGGGTTCACTCATGTTTCGTGTGTAAGGAGAGCAAGGCAGACGTTAAGCGCTGTGTCGTATCACAGTGTGGGAAGTTTTACCACGACACATGTGTGAGGAGGTTCCCCCTGACCGTGTTTGAGAGCCGCGGCTTCCGCTGCCCCCTCCACAGCTGCGTGAGCTGCCATGCTTCCAACCCTTCCCACCCAAGACCCTCAAAAGGTACGGCAGCTGTCTGGCGTGTCACACGGGCACATGGAGGGCGGTGTGTCACCTTCACCTGTCATTTTTCTTTTCAGTGACAGTTGTCCTGTTACTTACTTCACAGAGGTTGGGTTTTGGGTTTTCTTCATGAAGGACCATCTTTCCTTCTTCCTGCCCTGATGGTCATCTTACAGATACTTAATTTCAGGGTGGGGAGCCTTGGAACCATTGTGATACATTCTATTTGATCTGGGTTTAATGGTCCTTCATATATGAGAAAAGTATCCTAAAATCAAGTTGTATCTGCCTTATGTCATGTTACAGCGTGAGATTGAGGGTGGCAGGTTATCCATACGTGGCACTGTGTTTCTTAGCCAGGGGCCATTTGGCCATGTCTGTGGATGCTGAGGCGGCACCGATGGACATCTAGTGGGCAGAGGCCAGACACAGTCCTCCGCATGCCCCCATGCCAGTAGTGCCCAGGCTAGAAACCCTGGTTAATCCTATTTTAGAATACAGCATTTTAAACACTCAACCACTTCCTTTCAACATTGTTTTGAAGCATCTTTGCCTTGAGGAACCTGTTTCCCCCATCCTGGTTATTCCCCATCACACACCCCTTGTGCTTCCATGCCAGCTCTCCCTCCTGTGCTGGTGCAGCCCCTTCTCTCCACCCTGCACAGTGTCACTCCTCAGCCTGTCTCTGCCTTCAGGGAAAATGATGCGCTGCATCCGCTGCCCCGTTGCCTATCACGGAGGGGACACTTGTCTGGCGGCGGGCTGCTCAGTGATCGCCTCCAACAGCATCATCTGTACAGCCCACTTCACTGCCCGGAAGGGGAAGCGGCATCATGCCCATGTCAACGTGAGCTGGTGCTTCGTGTGCTCCAAAGGTGAGGGCCGGGGGTCCCCGGGGACCTGGGCGCCAGGCGAGCTTCGAGCTTAGGCAGCTCTGGCCTTGGTCCCCATGATGTCTGTGAGTCTTTACGCGGAGGAGCATGCTTGGTACTTCTGTTACCCATGATCCCGTCACAGACTCGTGGGAAACTGAGAGTGGTGAAAATAGGATTTGCTTATGTGTTTAAGCCCAGATTACTGTTTTTGAACTGATGTCTAAGGCTTAGGTGCGCACTGCTATCTGTTGAAGCGGCCAGTGTGGGCTGAGCTGCGTCTGCCTTGGCTGAGTGGCCTGCTGCCTGTTGCAGGGGGAAGCCTTCTGTGCTGTGAGTCCTGCCCAGCGGCCTTCCACCCCGACTGCCTCAACATCGAGATGCCTGATGGGAGCTGGTTCTGCAACGATTGCCGGGCGGGCAAGAAGCTTCACTTCCAAGACATTATTTGGGTTAAACTTGGGAACTACAGGTGTGAGAACCAGAATTCCGTGCGTCTGTGTCTCTCCTTGTTCAAATGTGTTGTGTTTACTTTATAGTACTGACAGTATTGAAATGATTGTCACTCTCTCTGAAGAGTCTGTGAATCCTGTTTTTAATATTTATAATAGATGGTGGCCGGCAGAAGTTTGCCATCCCAAAAATGTTCCCCCAAATATTCAGAAAATGAAGCACGAGATTGGAGAATTCCCTGTGTTTTTCTTTGGGTCTAAAGATTATTACTGGACGCATCAGGCGCGAGTGTTCCCGTACATGGAGGGGGACCGGGGCAGCCGCTACCAGGGGGTCAGAGGGATCGGAAGAGTCTTCAAAAACGGTACGGAGGTTTGCGGGTGCCCTTTGCTGACCCTGATCTCTGCCTTTGTTAAGCCTGGTTTGGCGTCGGTGCTCCTGCAGCACCTCACGTAGGAAGGTTTGTAGGCGGAGCGTGGGGTGAGAGGCACTGTTTGGCAGATCTTGTCACATTGGTTTGTGACGAATTTCACTTAACTTTTTTACAGCTACTATTAAGTTATTTTTAGTACTGACTTAAAGAAATCCTTTACAGCTTGCCTTAGTCAGACGGGGACATGGAGGAAGCTTTCTGCTGTCTAGGCCTTGTGCACAGGCTGGCAGTGGCTCACCTCATTAGCAGGCGCTGGGTGTCAGGTGGCCCATGAAGGGCCAGGTGTGGGCAGCAGACAGGGCACCCCCCAGACTCCATGGTCCAGGGTGAGAGGAATGGCAGTGTGGGCGGCCAGAGGGGCGGGATGGGCCCTCTGGCTGGAGGAGATGCACTTCCTCAGGCTTGGGGCCAGCAGAGGCATGTCTCACTTGGGCCCCAGTGGCCGCACTTGAGGGCAGGCTGCAGCAGGGCCAACCCTCAGCATGCAGGAGGCACTTGGGTCTAAGAGAGGGCAGGCATCAAAAGATGAAAATTTTTAAGAGAGATGTTAAAATAGAGAGGCAGCTTAATGTGTTCAGTGTCAGTCATCGGGGAGGCCGTCAAAGCAGGATGTCCTGACCCTGCACCAGAGGCCCGAGGAAGCGCAGCCGCCCAGGCAGTGCGGGAGATGTCTCCCAGGACAGAGCTCTGTTCTTTCTTCAGTGCTTTCCCTCCCCGACAGAACAGGGTGCGTTTTCAGCGTTAGGAAAGTGAGTCTGCATGTTGCCGCCTGGCCCTTAGCCATGAGGTCATGTGTGTTGGGGAGCTGGCGGAAGTCCGCCGGGTCCCTGGGCCCCCTGCAGGGAGATGGCTAAGCAGCCTGGGCTCTCTGGCCCGCCAGGCGCTCCTCCATTCAGGATGTTTTGCAGCTTACAAACACCTGCCCTTTGATGGCTTCCCATGACCTCCAGTTCTATGGAAACTGGAAAGTATGCTAAGTAATGACATGAAAGCTCAGAGCTGACAGGGTGGATGTGCCATTTACTAACATCTCTTACTCCTGTTTCACTGCTTTAGCACTGCAGGAAGCTGAAGCTCGTTTTCGTGAAGTCAAACTTCAAAGGGAAGCCCGAGAGACGCAGGAGAGCGAGCGCAAGCCCCCGCCTTACAAGCACATCAAGGTGGCATGTGGGGCGCAGTGAATGGGAGGACTGAGGCCAGGTGGGGGGGGAGGAGTCCAAGGCGGGCAGCAGACACTGTCATCATCAAGCATGTGTCCGACTGAGCACGGGGTTCTGTATGGGAGGTCACGGTTTGCTTAGGGTGTAAGGCTCAGCTGGTAGCCAGTGCAGGGCTGGAGGCACAGCCCTAGCCAGGCTGCCTGGGGATGAGCCCACCTCCTGGGCCACCCTGTCACCAAGTGCCAGTGACAAGCTGGAAGAAGAGGCCATTCCGGTCTAGTGCTTAGCCCAAGTCCGAGGCAGGATGATCTTCCTCACCTGCGGCGGGAAAGACGGATGTCGGCATTCTTGAATACAGTGCCATGTTTACTCCTGGGAACTCAGGGGCCCTGGTGGGAAGCCCATGTCCACAGGCCTCCGGGTGTGGGAAGGGTAGCTGGGCCACCACTGGCGCCTCTCACAGCCTGGTGCCCAGGCCCTGGCGGTCCCTTGACACACGTGTGCGGGCTGCCTTCCAGCTGCTCGAGGGCTCTGCCTTTGCTTCTGGAATCTGGGCTGCTGTATTGGGGTGCACAAAGGAAGCATTCTCTGTATTAGTCTGTATTTAGTATTATCTTTGGGATAAGTGCCCAGGAGTGGAGTTTCTGGAACTGGGACAAAAAGGACAATTTCAGGTTCTCAGTGTTTCCAGACTGTTCTGCAGCACTGTACAGCCTAACACCACAGCAGGAAAGGTTGTCTTTCACCGTGGTTTCCCTTGAATTACTTGTTACTCCCTTGGCTTTTTAGTGCTCTCTGGTGTTTTATTGTGTAGTTGCTCTTGTTCCATTAATAAAGTTCAAGTCCACGTGGGCAGAGGCGGGGCCCTGTGCTCACTTGTGGGGCTTGGTGCAGGTGCAGCCCCAGAAGAGAGCAGGTTGCTCTTGCAGCAGCCTGGCTGGACAAGCTTTGGCTCTCCCCGACAAACAGCGACAGAAAATAGTGTGGGGGTAGGGGCTGCGCTGAGCCCACCTCCTAGAGCTCCCAGCTCAGGGGTGTCCCATCTGCAGCCTCTGCTACAAGGAGCCACTGCTGAGATCTGGGCAAGGTGCCTGTGAGGCACTGGGCAGCATGCAGGGGTCGGAAACCCCCTATGTGGTCTGAGTCACCCTCCCATTCCCCTGCAGGTGAATAAGCCTTATGGGAAAGTCCAGATCTATACAGCTGATATTTCTGAAATCCCCAAGTGCAACTGTAAGCCCACGGACGAGAACCCCTGTGGCTTCGATTCGGAGTGTCTGAACAGGATGCTGATGTTCGAGTGCCACCCGCAAGTGTGCCCTGCAGGAGAGTTCTGCCAGAACCAGTGCTTCACCAAGCGCCAGTACCCCGAGACCAAGATCATCAGGACCGATGGCAAAGGATGGGGCCTGGTCGCCAAGCGGGACATCAGGAAGGTGTGCACCATGCCCCCGTCCTGCTTTTCAGAGACCGTGGTACAGTGGCTCACTTAGATTTCCTGAGTGTGCTCTAACATCCTGAGTGATGTTAGAATGGTTTTGCAAAATGATTTCTGAGTTACTGGAACTAAATATTGTAAAACCTGACAACAGAGACATCCATCAAAGTGAAACTCATTAACTCCCCTAAATGCACGTTCAGACAGAATCTTGATGTTGCTTTTAGGATGTGAAAGATTTGTAAAGGGGCCACTTTCCTCCAGTATACAGCCAGGGTGCTCAGGAGGGCTTGGGACAGTAGGACTGAGCTGTTGGGAGCCACGTGGTCCATGAGATGGGCGCAGCCTGCCTCTGTCCTGAGGCAAACCCCCCTGCATGGCCCCCTCGTACAGGGACCTAGGGAAAGTGCTTATCTTGTAGCCTAGCTGTGCTTGGCTGTGGCCTTGGGCAGTGGCTCAGACCCCAGGTCTGTCGCGGGCTGGTCCCCAGCAGGCAGTGGAGGATAGGCTGATTGGAAGTGCGCACGACTCCAGCAGCCTCGCCCCTCTGCTTGCCGCACCACCTGTCAGATTCTTCCTGACCCTTCTCTCTTCTGGGAAACTGACCTGCTAGGGTGAGTCATGCGGGAGCTTGGAGGGTATAACGCCAGTGTCCCCAGAGACAAGGCGCTGCAGGAAGCAAGGGTCAGAATCCTGTTGTTTTAGGGGGAGCACCTGGAGGGGCTCCTCAACCATCTGTACCACACAGCGTAAAGGCGTCTGAATTTACTTCCACTTTCAGGGACTTGGTAAGGCGCAGCCCGGCCCCAGTGGTGCGGGGCTCTAGTCCTGGGCAGTGGCCTCAGGCCAGCTCCATGGCGCTCTCTGCCTTGCAGGGTGAGTTTGTGAACGAGTACGTCGGGGAGCTGATTGATGAGGAGGAGTGCATGGCGAGGATCAAACACGCCCATGAGAACGACATCACGCACTTCTACATGCTCACCATAGACAAGGTAATGAGAGCCCTGAGGGCTGCCCGCAGCACAGGACCTGCTGAGGCCTTCTCCCTCATCCCTTTCAGACGCCTCTGCCTCTCCTCTGAAGCCCAGTGTCTAATGGCAGTTGCCTGAAGGCCAGAGCCCCTGGGCACAAGAGCACCCTGGGAGCCTCATGTGTCCCCGACCCACACATGCACACCAAGGGTCGGTGAAAGGAGGGGAGGCACAGACCAGGGGAGTTGCACACCTTCCTGGTTACATCGTGGAGTTTCTGGTTGCTCACTGCCTGTCTGGAGTCCGGATCTGTGTGCCGTGCAGAACACAGGTCTGCTGGAGGGGCCAGCACTGAGGAAGGACGGGTGAGGTGGCTTGTGTATGGGGCCGTGGACAAAGGCAGGCACGTCTGGTATGCCGTCTGTTTTGTGGTGGCTCCTGGAGGGCAGGCGTCCTTGATTCCCAGCCACACAGTGGGCAGTCTGACCCCAGGACATAGTCTCTCTGGTGCCTGAGTGTGGTTCAAGGGGAGGGCAGACAGTGCATGCTTCTGCTTGCTTTTTATCTCAATTTAGCAGAAAAAATGTGGCTATTTTTAAGAGTAAATCAATCATAGTGCTTGTAAACAAGGTAGAAAGTGATCACAGACCAGGAAATCCAAGTGACTCCTGGAAGGCAGAACCCAGGTGTGAGAATCCCGAGAAAGAAGGCTGTCATGGAAGAAGGGTGGTGCTAGAGGCCCGTGGGGTGGTCCCAGAGAGGCCAGCCCCAGGGAAGCCTGTCAGACAAGCAGGGGCTCCCAGTCACTGCCAGCTGACTGGTCGTGGGGCCCAGTCTGGTCGGTGAAGATAACAGAGGCGCTGAGCCTCCTGACGAGATGCTGAATTGTCGTGTCATGGCTGGGAGCCGGCAGGGCGTCTCTGAGACAGTGAGGGGCTCTCAGCTGGATATGGTGAGGGTGCTGAGGCTGGAGATCCTGGTGGAGGGAACGCTGTGCTCAGGCATCGATGTGGAAGCCCACTTCCAGAGGACCGGGGGCATGTGCGCACCTACACGCATGTGTACGTGTGACATGTGCGCATACGTAACAGGCAGTAGAGAGGAAGGGAACGGCAGGTGTTGCCAGTTGGTGTATCTGGGTGAAAGGTGTACTGATGCTCGCTGTGGCTGTGCTCCACTTTGACCTGTAGGTGTGAGACTTTTAAAAACGAAAGCACTGGTTAGAAAGGTGTGGTCCTGGACTAGATGTGGGCAGCTCTTCCTCCTCTGGGCCTTGTCAGGGCCAAGCCACCAGCACGTTGCTCTTGGACCCTGGCCACACAGCTCCTCTGCAGGAGGTGGGGCCTGGCACACCCAGTGGGCAGACAAGCAGGGACCCTGCGCTGCAGAATGAAAGGGAAACCAGGAAGACCTGAGTGTGAAGGAAGGAGAACTGGCCACCAGGCCACCGCAGGGTCTTGTGACTCTGAGCAGGACGGCAGGGAAGGGGGCAGACAACTCTGCCACACCATGGCCAACTCCACAGCCACAGTAGCAGGTACACGCAGGTCCCCAGGGGTGTGGGACATGGAGAAGGTAGGGGCTTGAGTTCAAATCTGTGTGGGGACCCCCACAAGCCCGCTCAGAGGCCTGGGTGGTGGGCAGTTGGAGCTAAGGTGCCTGTGGAGACCCCTCAGAGGGCTTTAGCTCCCAGAGGTCAAATGTACCTTCCCTCAGCCATCCTGCTCCTGTCATCCTGCTCCTGTTTTGGGTGGAGTGGTGAGAGAAGTTATCTTAATAGAAATTGAAACCTTAGGTCTATGCCTTGCTATGTTTTAGAGTCTTAATTTAAACTATTCATGTGCTTTAAAAAAATGCCAAGCTGATCATTTAACATATTAAGTTGGTTCCTGAAATGGAAATTCACTTGGGGCACCTGGTTAAAGCCAAGATAAAGCCCATGATACATGAGGGACACGTACACAATTCATACCTCACACATTTCCTGTAAAAACAAAACAAATGTAAGTCCCACCTAAATGTCCAGAAAGCACAGCAGAAGATCTCCGTGAGTGAGTGGGCCCTTCAAACAGGAGCCTTAGCTTCTGTTGAGAACCTGAAGCAGGAAGACCGACTCTGAAAGAAAATATTTTGTAAGCATATTAGAAATGGTTAAAGTCATAGAAGCAGGTTTAGGGATCACAAGAGGGTAGTAAGACTTTGAGGGGCTCTCTGGCAGGTCTGAGCCTTAACACTGGGAGGTACCCTGTAGTCATTGAGGTGAACTCAGCAGTTGGTCAGACCTGGAGGCCACCGAGAAGAGCATCGAAGCGACTGCCACGCTGCTGCAGAGAGATGGGGACCCCGTGTGAGCAGCTGAGGGACGACAGAATGTTCAGTGGGTGTTCCAGGAGAGGCAGGAGGACACAGGGAGAGGATGCGTGACAAGAGTCTTCTGGAATGTGTGACATGTATCATCTTGATGAAGAAACTGACCAAGTTTTGAGTGGGATAAATAAAAACAAATCCACACCTAATATGTCGTTTTAAAAAAAACCCAAACCTGTGGGCTACCAAAGACTATGAATATGAAAAGTAACAGAGAGAAAAGTAGCACATTCCAGGGAGCAGCTATTAGAAGAGTGCAGCTCCTTGGTGTGTAGGAGCCAGCAGACACGGCAGGGGGCTCTGAGAAGTGGCCCTCGGCCTTGCTTGAGTGCCCCGCCACACCAGCACTTCTGACAGATGGAGAGATGGCCCGTCTGGCCCGCCAGCATGACTTGCCTGAAGGAAATGGTGGTGGCGCTTCAGGAAGAAGAAAGCTGAATTTCAGAAGGTAAGTCAAATGTGCCAGAAGGCCAGGTATGCGATGAGCCTGCAGATCTGTGGGCTTATGTAAACAAGGCACTGTTGTGAGCTTCTCCCACCACTTGTGGAGCAGATGGTGGCTTGGCAGGTGCGTGGGCAGGAAGGGCGCTGGATGAGATGGTCACAGAGGCCAGCAGGTGGTGGGAGGACCAGGGTGAGCTTTGTGGGGATCGAGGGGGAGGTTTCCTGAACTTCATGGTTTGTCAAGTATGCATGTTAAACTACATGGAACGTTACTAAACAGAGAAATGGAAGGTCTAACTTCCATATCATTAAAGGGCATGAAGAAACATCAGTCACCCCAGTGGACGTGAAGTAAGTGGGATGAAAAGAAAAAAGCACTTGGAAAGCATAGGGTGAGATGTGAAAAGTACATATTGTCAGTGATCACAGTAAATGTAAACAGCTTAGTTTCTAAGACTAAGATGTAGATTGGCTAAAACACAGGAATCCAACTGGAAGCTCAGTAACTTACATAATAAAAATAAACCAGGTTGTAAGTAAGAGTATTAAAAAGTTAGAAACTTAGCAAATCCTGATCCAAGGAAGGATGTTATTGGCTGTACACTACTGGTCAGACGGACACTAGGAATAGTGTCACTGGGCGGCTGAGCGTCACTGTGGTGAAGGTGAGGCTCCCTAGTCCTCAGCACCAGGGCAGGGGCCTGGGTGGGTCCTGCCAACCCCTCTTCATGGGCTTCAGTTGCAGGGATGGAGGAGACCTGGGGAGACAGCGCCGAGTGTGAGCCCACAGCTTGGAAAGATGTTACTAGTAGTTCAAAGAAAAGCACTATGGGGGTGAGGGGGCCATAGTGCAGTAACACCTCATCTATAAAACTAAAAACCTATAAACAATATTCTAGGAGAAGATGGTGCCTGCTCACTTCCAAAGCTACACATAACAGTACAAAGAGCACGTCCTCAGTGGAACTCAGGGGGACACACAGACCCATCAGCCTGAAAGGTCCTCCCCAGGCGACCCGAGAGCCCGCTGAGAACAGTGTGTGGACGGCCCACGGGGCAGAGCTTGGCACCCTTAGGCAAGCGCCCACCCCTACAGAGACTGCTCTCAGTAGAACCGGGAGCATCAGAAGGGCCAGGAGGGGTCCTGGTGAAGCTGTGATTGAGCTTGGAAAGGGACATCTTCCGAGAATGAGATGGAGACAGGGCTCCCTGGGCTGCAGAGAAGGCCTGAGACAGGGAACCTGGAAACCACCCTGTCCACCCCAACTGCTCCAAGAACTCCAAGGATTCCAGAAGGATGATGAAAACCCTGGCAAAGAGCAGCAGGACTTCCCTGTGGGTGGAGAAAAGGTGCTGAGGAAATAGTGCCACAGAGCAGATGAAAATTATGCCCCAGTCTTCCACATGATTTTTTAAGATGTGAGGAATTAGAGCCGGCAAGGCTGAACTAGGGACTTGGAGGGCTTGGGACTGATACGGTAGGAAAAGACGGTGGCTTCCAAAGCAAAGCGCACACCAGGAGTACCTGGGGACACAAAGCCCAGGGGACCTGAGGGCTGAACGAGGTGCCGTGGAGAGGAGTGAAGGACCTGGGAGGCAGGAGCAGAGCCTGGGGGGCGGGGGGCAGGCTGGGAGCGTCTGTGCAAACAGGCAGGGGGTCACCCGGCTGGGGTTCTGGACCACAAAAGGCAAGTCTGGGTACTGACAGAACACACTGTACTTCGGGGAGATCCACTCAGCGTGGCAGCGTAAGACCTTAATACAATGATTGGACATAAGAACCCTTCGGCCAGCCGGACCCACAAACTGACTGCTTCTGCAGGGAAGAGGATGAGGCTGGCTCGAGTGCTCATGGCAGCCCCTGGTGCCTGAGCACAGGTGCAGTGCTGACGGTGAACAAGACTGAACGGTCAGCTGGGGGGCTCTTCAGGTGGGACAGCGGTGGTACCTGGTCTGAACACAAGGGAATAGAAGGGGCCGGGAGGAGCCAGTCCTTCCAGGGAAAATGGCTAAAGGACGTGTTTCAGACAGTCAGAGGGCAGAGAAGCCCCAGCAGGGGGACCTGTGGTGAGTGCGAAGCAAGAGGCAGGGATGAGGACAGGAGCAGACATGCCCAGATGCCCTTTCTGACAGACCAGGTGGGAAGAGAGCAGCATGGGACCAGCTCATCTCTGATGTCTGAGAGTCAGAGCTGACAAGTCAGAGAGTAGCTCAGGCACACCAAAGCATGAAGGTAAGCCGGGAGGTGATGCCTGGGAAAACTGGGTTGTAATGGTGGGGGCAGGGGCGAGGGGCCTGGCTGATGGCATGGTTGGCAGTGACGGTGGCCGGGGGTACTCCTGGAAGAGACAGGGAAGGGGAGGCACGTGTAAATCTAGGGCGGGTCTATAAAAAGCAACCAGTATTAGTACCAAATGGTTAAATGAAATGTTACTGTCTTAGGCAAGTAAATTATCTTTTGGGGAAAAAAAAAAAAGCAACCAGTAGAAACGTAAAAAGTTCCCAACATAACAGGAAAACTAACCTCAGAGTGAAAGGCTTAAAACCCATATAAACAATAATAGAATCGTGCCCAATCTACCAGTCACATCTGTAAAAAGGAATTGGATTAATTCACCTGTTGAAGATTTCCAGACTGCTTCATAAAGCAAAACCTAATTCTCTGTTGTATGTAAGAAACAAAGTGACTCTGAAAGGTTTAAAATAAAATCATGTGCAAAGGTGTACCAGATGAAGTCATTTTCTACAGTTACGTTTTCTCTCAGACAAGCTAGAATTCCAGCCCTACCACATTCAGGGACCCAAGAGGCCTTACAGTGCAAATGGACCCCACACAGACAGTGTCTGCAGGGTTCCTCCTGCAGCAAGAAGCCAGACAGGTGTGGGAGAGGCCAGGAAGGGCCACTGTGCGTGGGCCTCTCACAGCCACAGGTGGAGACCATGGACAAAGCACAAACTAAGCCCTGACTAGGGAGCGCAGCAGGACCAACCAGGATGGAATTAAAGACAAAGTGGACATTCAGCAGTTATGTACAACTAATAATGCCATGTTTTTACAAACACACGAAGCGGCGCCATGTATTTTTCAAGGACACATATTCAAGGTTGACTCATGAGCCCAGGGAAGCCAGGGTGGTGTGAAAGACTTCTGAGTGAGAAAGAGTTACTATGAAGCTAAAATTCTAGTGTTACCCTATGAGAAAGGCTTGACACACAGTTATCAAGAGTCTGGTAATGTGTGTCATCTGCAAACCAGTGGGAAAACCATCAGTAAGACAGTGAGGAGACAGGGCATCCACAGCTGAAAAGGGCACATGGCAGAGGAGGGGGCTGCCTTACTTGCCACCCGGGAAGCGTGATGGTGCTGGAGGTGGCAAGGACCTGTGGTCCCACTGTTCGTCCCAGGCATGCTCAGGAAGGGAATCTGTGAGCCCTGAGGAGGCTCAGACGACGGACTGCAGCACTGCCACAGGAAAAGGGGGCAACAGCTTAAACGTCCATAGTGGGGCCAGTGAGCATCACTAGGTCTATTAAGGGATAACATGCAGCAGTTAACAGGAACAAAGTTAGGTCATTACACTTATATAGTTAAGACAAAAGCACATTCAGATGCCATTTCTATTTTAATGAAAGGGGAGCGTGTAAAAGGATGCATTGGAGATGGCCTGTCCTGGGCAGGAGGCACCCTGGGGGCTGGGTCGCAGAGCAGGGCACCACCCACAGGCAGGCAGCCTGGCTGGCAGCTCAGGCTTGGGGCTGCAGCTGCACTGCTCGAGGACCCAGGAGAGACACGTCCCAGGACTCTGTGCTCACACGTGTCTGTGTCCTCTGGGACACAGCTTTGCACTAGCCCGTGACTGACACCTGCGTGCCCAATCCCCAGCACTGCACCACCCCATGCACGTCTCACATTGGCTGCTCCCCTCATGGAGCTGGGACCTCTCCAGTCACACATGTGGTCTGGAGGCTTTTGGGCTCCCAGTTCTTGTGTTGCTGGGCCACTGTGCCAAAACAGCTGTGAGTCTCCTCATGCCCAGGGGTGTTGCAGGTCAGCAGCTGGTTCTGGCACACAAAGGTGGGCCCCCATGTGCCCACACTCGTGACTCCCACTGCCATCCCAGATTACTTTTAGCCATGTTGCCGCCACGGGGCCAGCCCCTCCCCTCTTGGCCAACAGTCATGTCAAAGTCAGATTTCATGGTCGTTTAATCTGCTTTTCCTCAACTACTTAAGAATTTGTGCATCTTCCCCTACCTTGCCCGTCGGGACTTGACCTGTGGGGATGGTTTGCGTCCCTTGCTCATTTTGGACTTGGGCTTGCATAGCTCGTCTGCCAGGGGGGCTGCCAGCCGCTGGTGCTGGCCTTCAGCATCCGGGCCTCCTGTTTGCTCCAGTCCCTCATCTGTCATCTGATAGGTGGTGCTGGGGAGTGCTCCCCCGGGCTTGGTCCTGCCCTCCATGTGGACCTGACCTGCCCTCCAAGAGCGAGAGAAACAGGACTGGTTTGGGGGTGTCCTGTCCGAGTGGACGAAGGAGACCACGGTTTTCAGTACAACACAGGTTGTCTGGTGTGTCTCATGATGGTGGGGATTCCCTGTAAGAAGTGAGGGTAAGAGTTGACCACACATTGAAATGCAGCTTGAAACGTGAGCTGTGCCTTACAGGACCGTATAATTGATGCTGGCCCCAAAGGAAACTACTCCCGATTCATGAATCACAGCTGCCAGCCCAACTGTGAGACACTCAAGTGGACGGTGAACGGCGACACACGGGTGGGCCTGTTTGCGGTGTGTGACATTCCTGCAGGTATGTCACCTTGGTGCCTTCTGTGCAGGCTGCCCCAGAGGCTATGGGTGGAGGCAGGTGGTGATGTGCGAATGTTGTTTGAACATGTATTTCACAAAGTGAAACTAGACAGTGGTGATAGAAGTCCAGATGCGGAAACAGCAGTCCATTTTGTGGGCCTGCCAAAGTTCCATGGCTTTATGGAAAGGCCGGTGTTTCCAGCGTGGTTTGTCTCCTCCCCCAGGGACAGAGCTGACCTTTAACTACAATCTCGACTGTCTGGGTAATGAGAAAACAGTCTGTCGGTGCGGGGCCTCCAATTGCAGCGGGTTCCTTGGGGACAGGCCAAAGGTAAGGCCACCACTCCTGCACCTCCAAGCTCATGTCTGCACTCGACAGCTGTGAACGTGTCCCTCCAGTGAGGAGAGGTGCCCCTGAGCTGCCGTGAGAGGCGAGAGTTGGGGCTCTGCAGGGCATGGGTAAGGGTGGCAGAGGGGGGCAGGAAGCCAGGCCCCATCCACTGCAGCAGGCCTTTCTTGTGTGTGGGAAGGCCACATGTGGGCATGAACAAGAGACCCAAGATCACTGTCGTTAGGGTGTGCCCCCTCTGAAGGCTCTCGGGCAGGCTCCTTGGCTTCCTCCTGCCTCAGGTTGTCGGCTGTCCTGGCCGCTCCAGGCTCTGCCCCCGCCACATGGCCTCTCATGTCTGTCAGTGTCTCCTCGTAAGCACCTGTCATGTTGGATTAAGGGCTCACCCTGCTTCGGTGGGACCTCATCTTAACTGCATCTGCTTAATTGCATCTGTTGCAGTCGTTTACAAATTAGGCTGCATCCCAAGTTTCTGGGATGGACAGGAAGTCACCCTGTTCCCCAGGACTACACTTACCGCCTCCCTGTGCTTCCTGGAACCCAGGCCTGAAAACAGCAGGTGCCACAGACCTCAGAGCAGCAGGAGCATCTGCAGTGTCACTGCTCTGACCCTGAGAATAACTTCACAGAACCAGTTGTCTTGGTCCTGACATTGGAGGAAATCCAAGCAGAAAGGACTGAGGGTGCACCCCATAGTGCGGGAACTGCTCACTGGCCATATGCCCAATTAGCACATGTGCAGGCCCATGTGGATGGCCGCAGCTGGAGGCATTGTTGCAGGAGGCTCTCAGCAAAACCTGTTTCATTTTCAACATCCAGTTTTCTTAGGTTCAGTAGAATAGCAGCATGTCTGCAGAGCGATCCTGCTGGGCCCTTTCCCATCCCCGTGCGCACTGGCTACTCCCTTGCTTCTCATGTCAGGGCCTCTCCAAAAATTCTACGGTTCCTGTACCGTTTTCACTTGGGCTCTTTCGTTGCTGCTTCGGTCCACGCAGTCCTCACAGTGATGTTTCTAACGCTTCATTCTAGACCTCGACAGTGCCTTCCTCCGAGGAGAAGGCCAGGAAGACCAGGAAGAAGCCCAGGAGGCGCAGAGCCAGGGGCGACGGGAGGAGGTCGGAGGATGAGTGCTTCCGGTGCGGCGATGGTGGCCAGCTGGTGCTGTGCGACCGCAGGCTGTGCACCAAGGCCTACCACCTGGCATGCCTGGGCCTGGGCAAGCGGCCCTTCGGTGGGTGCTCAGGCTGGCCGGGCCTGGCCACAAACCCCCCGCGCAGATCCGGTGCCGGCGTTGGCAGGGGGTGCAGTTCAGTGGCTGCTGCTGAGGAGCCGGCTGCACCGGCCAGAGGGTCTCTGACAGCAGCCCCGGGCCTGGGGGACCTGTCCGCAAGCCAATGCCTGGCCAGGGCTGAGCCCCAGAAGCCAGGCAGGGCTTGTGGTGCGGGAGAGGGGGTGGCTCAGAGTGGACCTTTACCGGCCCACTCACTGCTCAGACCCTGGGAGGGGCCGGGCGCTGTCCTCAGCAGCGCTACTTCTGTCTCAGAAGATGGGGGCGTGGGCTCTGCCTGCTAGCACCTCATTTCAGAGGGCGGGCGGGCATTTGTGGGAAGTTAACTACAAACGTTATTTACGAATTATATAAATGTAATATCTCTGAAGAAAAACTTAAGAAGTTCCTACTGAAAGGCAAACTGAAAAGGTATAGATGTTTAACTTAAAAAAAAAAAAATACATTTCCTATGGTAAAAGGTGACAAAGCAAGGTTTCACCAATGTTAAAAAAAAAATAAAATGCTTAGAGTGGGTGTTAGTTCCCCTAACCTCCCGCTGGATGCCAGCGCCCAGCAGACAGTCCAGGCTGCAGCCAGGTCAGCAGAGGGACCGGTGCAGCAGACGCCCAGCATGCCGCCCATGCCCAGTCCTTCTCGAGAGGTTTGGATGGGTGGATGGACAGCAGTCTCATGTCCATTCGTGTCTACCTGACTGGACGGCTTTAGGATGTTTTAGCCACGAGATGGTAGCAGCTGTCTGCCACCTGCTGCTGCTCACATTCTGTCTCCTTGCAGGGAAGTGGGAGTGTCCATGGCATCACTGCGATGTGTGTGGCAGGCCATCCACTTCATTTTGCCACTTTTGCCCCAATTCGTTTTGCAAGGAGCACCAAGACGGGACAGCCTTCGGCTCCACCCAGGATGGGCGTTGGTACTGCTGCGAGCATGACCCAGGGGCAGAGCCCGTCCGCAGCGCCAGTACTGAGAAGTGCCTGGAGCCCCTGGAGCTGAAGGGGAGGCGGCGTCGGCGTCGGCGGCGTCGGCGGGTCATGGAAGGCAAATAGCGCCAGGCACTGGCCTGGCCACAAGCCAGCCTACTGCATGGGCCGCCTGGAGGACCCAGCTGGAAGCCGCACGTCAGAGGAGGCCTCCCTGGGTGAGCGCCTCCCCCCACTGAGCCACCTCAGCAGCCCTGCTGCGTCTGCACTGACAGCCATCTGAGCCACGTGGCTCGGAAGGTTCCAGGACAAACAAGCCTTACTACACAGCATTACCGCTACACTTGAATTTCTACGAATGTCAAGGCTCCCTCCTGCTCTATTTTTTTTAGGTTAATTATGCTTGAAAATTGGCATATGAAATGTTTTTATGTCACCTGAAATGTAGGAAGTAGTAGTTTTGCTGAAGGATCACTATTCTCTCTTTACCCTTAACTATGTTACTCGGCCTGCTTACCTGTTGTCACTCAGGAGAGCCCAGGGTAGGGTCTGGGCAAGACTCAGACCTGGATTCCTTGGAGACCATGATTTTGACCATTATTTCACTCTTAAGAAACAGTTGTCTACTTTCTGTGCTAATGTGAAATCCTTTCTCACAATGCTCCTTCCTGTCTGGTGAGAGGCCGGCCCCAGGAACCATGACGGTAAGAGTGGTGGGAACTTCCCCCATAGTCCCTCTCGGGATGGATCTGAACTAAGTGCTGGCAGGCTGGCCTTGCACATGGACGGTCGCGCTGAGCCACCTTTCCCTCTGAAGCTGGCCACTTCTCACCTGGGCCTATCTCCTGAGCACTAGGTTCTTATACCAGCATTTGGGGGAAGACTGTATATTTTTTTCACTTGGTTTTTCTTTACCAGTTTCTCACTTTTATCCTCAATATATTTTTTGCTTAACTTGTTTTACAAATTACCACTGGCTGCAGTGTACTCACCGATGCGACCCTGAGTTCACACAGAAGAGGAGGAGCCTGGGAGGGGGCGTGGCCCCGTGGGGTGCCCCTGGAGGTGGTCACTTGGGAACAATGGTTTTAAGTCATGTGCTGCCCTGCACACCTGAGAGATAGGCCAGCAGGGCACTGCCAGGTTCCCCTTGGGGCCTAGACCCAGAGCACGTGGGAAATGTGCTTTCCCAGAAAATGTCCTTTTCAAGGGTTGGAGAGAGACTCCAAGTTAGAACTTCTGCCACTTCATCCTGCTTTGTGGGTCTGTCCACGGAAACCTGGCCAAAGACGTCTGTAGGCTCTGGTCTCGTGCCACACTTCTGGGAAAGGTTGAGCTCTATGGAACTAGATCTTCTCTTTGGGAATTCTCTTCAGCCTGGGGAGTTGGGAGCAGCTGAGAAAAATGGAGCGCACCGGCCAGGCGCCCAGGCGCCCAGGCACACAGGGAGGGAGTGCAGAGGACTGGGCGCACCTTCTCAGCTGCTCCCTAGCAGGATTTGAGTAGTGCCCCTGCTGCGCAAAGCATGCTCACGGCCATTCACAGACACGGTCCTCAGCCTGTCCTCGGTGTCACTGCCATCGCCTGGTAGAACTGCTGGGTGTGCACGGACCTGAGGCCCTCCTCCCACCCTGCTCCTCCTTGGCTTTGTGGCCAAGCACTCTTGGAGCGCTCCCTGCCTGTGGCCATCCCATCAGGACCCTGGAAACAGTGACCACACCTAGCACCAAATGGAAGGACAAGAGGCTCGTCACCTGCTGACAGCTCATGCGTTAAGGGGCTTAGTTATCTGTGGAGACACACCTGCTGGATAAGACACAGGAACTATGGAGTATCTGGAACTCTGATTTCTCTCAAGTTAAGAAAATGCTCGACTGATTTGCAGATTCATGCTCCTGGGCCCTAAGTTTGCAAAGCTGTTCTGGTAATGGGCCTGCAGAGGCTGGGAAGCACCCTACAACTACCCGGTTTGGGGCTGGGCTAAGGGGCAGCCAAGGCCTGGCAGAGGTGTGCTGCCATGGCTGTGGCCCTGCTCTTTGGGGCCAAGGGCCCCGGCATAGGCTGGTGCTGCTGCTTGTCCTCTCCTACCAGCTGAGGAGTGTGTCCATCAGTCAGACATCAGACTGGCTTTGCAGTGCACTTTGGGGAGCAGATTAACTTACTTTTGTGTTTGACAATAGGAAAATCTTGTGATTTTTGAGTTACTTTGATATTTCCAAATTCCTTTGCTATCTTTCTGAAGCAAATACTGGAAAAATTACTTTAAATGAGGATGCCCTCTTTCCAAAACCTGTTGGACTAATGAGCAAACAACACTAACTTGAGAACCTCTAAAAAGCCCATTTATGAATCTGTGCAGGACAAGCCTTTGGAACAGCAGCTGAGCTTGAAGGGCCTTCTGCAACCCTGGGGCACAGCCCTGCCTGTGGCCTTGATGGGGAGGCTGCAGTGTCAGCTGCCTCAGGGCCTGGCCTCTGTGGCCATCAGCTCAGTCCTTTGTCTCCAGGAAGCAGACACAAAACAACCCCAGGACTTCTCGGCATCGGGACAGACCAGGGCCTGCACCAAAAACTGCACCCGCGCCAGCACTGACCTCTGGGGATGTGGGCGCCGCTCATACTGTGCAGGTCATAGGATGTGTCCAGCTTGGCGGTCCTCAAGTGCGACCGCTGCAGGGGGAGGCCTGGCACCCACGCGCACAGAAAGCACGTTTGTCCTGTCCTCCAAGGAGCTGTGTGGGCACCCAGCCGCGCCTGGTTCCCGGGCCCCACACACTCAGGGCTGCGCTTCTGGCACCTTCGAAGTATTTATCTTGACATAGAAACCGTAATGTGTGCAGCGCCCATCTTCCAGAGCTACCTGATTGTCAGGAATTAAAGACAAGCCTGTTTTAATGAAAGTTAATGGAAACACCTCAGTTGCCAGATTCTTAACCCTGAGAGAAGCACAGTCTCTCACAAATGTTAGGAGAGTGATGCCCATGGGTGTCCCAGTGTCCACTATACCCCGAGCAGGTGTGAGATGCCTGTCATAAATGAGCCATGACCATGCCTATTGGTGCCTGAACCTCACACAGCGTGCAGCCAGGCTCCTGCCTGGAATACTGGGCACTCAGCAGCTCTGACAGACCTACAAAGACTTGGAACCCACTTTGGGGCAGAGATGCTGAAATGTAGATTGGAGAATTGCCAGCTGGGGCAAAGTAGCATTTAAAGCAGGAAGTTGTGTTTGGAAAATTGTGTATGAGTATTTTTGTATTAAAAACATCTTAAAGGCTTTTTTTCGTAAACTTGTTTTGTTTGGGATTGCACTTTGAAATTTTGGGCTTCTTTCTACTTTTCCAGGTACTCTGAATTTCACCACCCCCCTTTGGGTCAGGGCTCCTGTCCTTAGACCCCATTAGGCTTTGGACTTACTGGGAGAGGCTAGTGGCCACCGGAAGTATACATATAATAGGTACCGGAAATATTAAGTATAGTTCTGATTTTGGAAGTTTTCAGAGTATCTGGCTCCCAAATCCCCATGGAAGGTGAAGTGGTCAGGAGGGGGGCTGATGGCTGTTCCCAGCCCTGCATGTAGCTGAGCGCCCACCCTCCTCCGCCTCCAGTGCAACCCCGGACCAGGTGCCCTGCCCTGAGGGCTGTGGCTGTGGAGTGGAGGATGAGCTGGCTCAAAACACAGCTCTGGGCTTTCTTTAGAAAAGCTGGACTTTAATTCATTTCTTACAATGAAAACAGGTGCCCAAAGTCTGAAATGCTCACAGCTGCACAAAAGGCAACTCGGAGACCCATGGGCGGTGAGTGTTCCTGGCGTCTGCCGCGCCGGGGCCCTGGCGGGCGGCCGCCCTGCACCCAGCTATCCCGGGGGCCACCCCGGCCCCCTCCACATCAGTCAGCGAGCACTGCACTAGCAGAGGAGGGCCCACCTCACGGTCAGTGGGATGCAAGAAAAAATAAAGATAACAGTCTAACAGGCGGAGCTGCTAAAACTCAGAAGTTACTTCTTTTTTGGTAACATTGAAAAATGTAATATTGAATCCAAAAGTATCTTAAATCACACAAAAGGGAACCCATGTTAAAATGTAAAAATAAGTCCAAACCACCCCAGAGAAAAGCATCTGAAGCTTAAGTGAGCAGGGCTGAGCCACACTGGAGCTGGTCGCCCAGGAGGCCAGCGGAGTGGAGTCCCTCGGGGCCCAGGGCAGGCTGCCAGGGGCACGGCAGGTGGCGCCTAGGACACGTTGGCCATGGGCTTGTACTTCTTGAAGCGTGTCCACTGGCCCGTGGCGTAGTTCATCTCGAACACTGTGTCCACCAGCATGGTGGTGCTGCCCTGGCCGTCTGACTTGGGCAGGTCCTCTGTGTGCTCGCTGAGCTTGATCTGGATCACGTCACCCTGCTCCTGGCACGGGTTCTCTGCAGAGGGCAGGGGCTGCTAGGCAGGGCGCCTGGGGCCAAGGAGCCCCCTCCCCGCAGGGCCAGCATCCCCACCCACCGGGCCCACACAGACCCACCTCGGGAGCCCGCCATGAAGCCCAGGATGAGGGCCTTCTCAGGCCGTGTGACTTTGTTGGCTGTCTTGAACATCTCCTGGGCAGCGAACATCTGCTCCCTCTGCAGGTGGGAGAGCCAGTGTGGGTGTGGGGACCACTGGCAGATCCCGCTTCCACCTGGAGGCCCACAGCAGAGACAGCTGGCCCCCACTGCAGGCGTGGCCGTGACACCTACCTGTGCCCCCCTTGGCCCCACCTACCGTTAGGGACAGGTTCTTCTTGGGCTGTGGCTGGGCGGGTGGCTGGGCTTGTGGGGCCACCATGGCCACAGGGGGCGTCTGCGTGGGGAGGGCAGCAGCCGGGGGTGTGGTGGGCGTTAGGGGCGAGGCAGGAGGTGCAGGCGCAGCAGGGCCGCTGTTGTACATGGGCGCCCTCTGCTTGAACTGCGACGGCAGCGCAGGGCTTGGGGCTTGGGGCTCCTCAGGTGGCCGGCTGGCCTGTAGGCTGGCTTCCCGGGAAGATGGGGCTGCAGGCACAGGGAGGATGATGGGGGGCCGGCAGAGTCAGGGGGCCCCCTCGGCCCCCTCCCCCCCCATGCCACATGCCAGGCGCTGACTACCAACCTGGCCCTGCCCTGGGGCCCACCCACCACTGGCACCCATGAGCCCATGTGCCCTCAGGCCGTGGCTCTGTGCTCCCAGGGGCAGGACCAATGGACAACGTGTAGCTGGGTGGTGGGCACAGCCCTCTGAGATCCCCACCATAGTCAAATGTCTCTGGCCTTTCCAGACTGTCAAGACAGGATGCCTGGCCTGGGGGCCGGTTCCCCACCCCGGGACACTGGGGAGAAGCAAGGAAATCTGCCTCCCCAGCCCAGGAGAGTCCCTTTGGCTGCATCCTCCCTGGGGCCAAGCTCCTTGCAGGCAAAGCCGAGCCCAAGGGAATAGAAGCCTCAGAGCAGAATCCACTAACTATCCCACACACTCAGGGCTGCGCTTCTGGCACCTTCGAAGTATTTATCTTGACATAGAAACCGTAATGTGTGCAGCGCCCATCTTCCAGAGCTACCTGATTGTCAGGAATTAAAGACAAGCCTGTTTTAATGAAAGTTAATGGAAACACCTGTCAGTTGCCAGATTCTTAACCCTGAGAGAAGCACAGTCTCTCACAAATGTTAGGAGAGTGATGCCCATGGGTGTCCCAGTGTCCACTATACCCCGAGCAGGTGTGAGATGCCTGTCATAAATGAGCCATGACCATGCCTATTGGTGCCTGAACCTCACACAGCGTGCAGCCAGGCTCCTGCCTGGAATACTGGGCACTCAGCAGCTCTGACAGACCTACAAAGACTTGGAACCCACTTTGGGGCAGAGATGCTGAAATGTAGATTGGAGAATTGCCAGCTGGGGCAAAGTAGCATTTAAAGCAGGAAGTTGTGTTTGGAAAATTGTGTATGAGTATTTTTGTATTAAAAACATCTTAAAGGCTTTTTTTCGTAAACTTGTTTTGTTTGGGATTGCACTTTGAAATTTTGGGCTTCTTTCTACTTTTCCAGGTACTCTGAATTTCACCACCCCCCTTTGGGTCAGGGCTCCTGTCCTTAGACCCCATTAGGCTTTGGACTTACTGGGAGAGGCTAGTGGCCACCGGAAGTATACATATAATAGGTACCGGAAATATTAAGTATAGTTCTGATTTTGGAAGTTTTCAGAGTATCTGGCTCCCAAATCCCCATGGAAGGTGAAGTGGTCAGGAGGGGGGCTGATGGCTGTTCCCAGCCCTGCATGTAGCTGAGCGCCCACCCTCCTCCGCCTCCAGTGCAACCCCGGACCAGGTGCCCTGCCCTGAGGGCTGTGGCTGTGGAGTGGAGGATGAGCTGGCTCAAAACACAGCTCTGGGCTTTCTTTAGAAAAGCTGGACTTTAATTCATTTCTTACAATGAAAACAGGTGCCCAAAGTCTGAAATGCTCACAGCTGCACAAAAGGCAACTCGGAGACCCATGGGCGGTGAGTGTTCCTGGCGTCTGCCGCGCCGGGGCCCTGGCGGGCGGCCGCCCTGCACCCAGCTATCCCGGGGGCCACCCCGGCCCCCTCCACATCAGTCAGCGAGCACTGCACTAGCAGAGGAGGGCCCACCTCACGGTCAGTAGGATGCAAGAAAAAATAAAGATAACAGTCTAACAGGCGGAGCTGCTAAAACTCAGAAGTTACTTCTTTTTTGGTAACATTGAAAAATGTAATATTGAATCCAAAAGTATCTTAAATCACACAAAAGGGAACCCATGTTAAAATGTAAAAATAAGTCCAAACCACCCCAGAGAAAAGCATCTGAAGCTTAAGTGAGCAGGGCTGAGCCACACTGGAGCTGGTCGCCCAGGAGGCCAGCGGAGTGGAGTCCCTCGGGGCCCAGGGCAGGCTGCCAGGGGCACGGCAGGTGGCGCCTAGGACACGTTGGCCATGGGCTTGTACTTCTTGAAGCGTGTCCACTGGCCCGTGGCGTAGTTCATCTCGAACACTGTGTCCACCAGCATGGTGGTGCTGCCCTGGCCGTCTGACTTGGGCAGGTCCTCTGTGTGCTCGCTGAGCTTGATCTGGATCACGTCACCCTGCTCCTGGCACGGGTTCTCTGCAGAGGGCAGGGGCTGCTAGGCAGGGCGCCTGGGGCCAAGGAGCCCCCTCCCCGCAGGGCCAGCATCCCCACCCACCGGGCCCACACAGACCCACCTCGGGAGCCCGCCATGAAGCCCAGGATGAGGGCCTTCTCAGGCCGTGTGACTTTGTTGGCTGTCTTGAACATCTCCTGGGCAGCGAACATCTGCTCCCTCTGCAGGTGGGAGAGCCAGTGTGGGTGTGGGGACCACTGGCAGATCCCGCTTCCACCTGGAGGCCCACAGCAGAGACAGCTGGCCCCCACTGCAGGCGTGGCCGTGACACCTACCTGTGCCCCCCTTGGCCCCACCTACCGTTAGGGACAGGTTCTTCTTGGGCTGTGGCTGGGCGGGTGGCTGGGCTTGTGGGGCCACCATGGCCACAGGGGGCGTCTGCGTGGGGAGGGCAGCAGCCGGGGGTGTGGTGGGCGTTAGGGGCGAGGCAGGAGGTGCAGGCGCAGCAGGGCCGCTGTTGTACATGGGCGCCCTCTGCTTGAACTGCGACGGCAGCGCAGGGCTTGGGGCTTGGGGCTCCTCAGGTGGCCGGCTGGCCTGTAGGCTGGCTTCCCGGGAAGATGGGGCTGCAGGCACAGGGAGGATGATGGGGGGCCGGCAGAGTCAGGGGGCCCCCTCGGCCCCCTCCCCCCCCATGCCACATGCCAGGCGCTGACTACCAACCTGGCCCTGCCCTGGGGCCCACCCACCACTGGCACCCATGAGCCCATGTGCCCTCAGGCCGTGGCTCTGTGCTCCCAGGGGCAGGACCAATGGACAACGTGTAGCTGGGTGGTGGGCACAGCCCTCTGAGATCCCCACCATAGTCAAATGTCTCTGGCCTTTCCAGACTGTCAAGACAGGATGCCTGGCCTGGGGGCCGGTTCCCCACCCCGGGACACTGGGGAGAAGCAAGGAAATCTGCCTCCCCAGCCCAGGAGAGTCCCTTTGGCTGCATCCTCCCTGGGGCCAAGCTCCTTGCAGGCAAAGCCGAGCCCAAGGGAATAGAAGCCTCAGAGCAGAATCCACTAACTAGTCTATCCTTTCTTCAGATACCTTCTTCCCAAAATTCTGGGACTGCAGGAACCCCTGCACACTGAGGTCCTGCCACCTCAGCAACTGCCAACTGCTTCCAAAGTGGGGCTCCCCCCAGGAGGGCAAAGCAGGCAGAAACTGGGACTCATTTCCTGAAACTTGTGCTGGCCAGAGAAGACAGGAGAGGTGTCCTGACCCCTGAGGAAGTGCCATGCGGGTGAGTCCAGGGGAGGTGCTATCCCTCCCCACAGGCAGGAGCAATCCTGGTGGGCACTGGGGAAGAGCCTTGGGCAGACTCCAGCCACTGCCACGGCTCACCTGGCGGAGTCTCGGAGCTGGGGATGTACGAGGAGGCAGGCACCACGCTGGGTGTAGCAGGCAGGTAGCTCGTAGAAGGCAGTGCAGGCTCGTTGTTCAAAGCCCCGAGTTTCTAGAAGACAGGGTTTACGGTCCCTCCCAGAAGAGGCTCCCCCCGACGCTGAGCTGTGCTCTCCTCTCCCAACGGCCAGGAAAGGGGCCTCTCCAGGCCGCACACGCCCCGTGCCCAGTGGCTGGAAACCTGGTGGCAGGCCCTGCACCCTGCCTGGAGCTGCCTCAGCAGAGGAGGGAGCCGGGCTGCTCCTGTTTGGTTAAGGAACCTCCCAAACCAGCTGTTTAAGGAAAGAAAGTCCAAGAACTTATTTTCTTACCACAAAAACACAAAAGGAAGACGTGCTCAGTAGGAGAAAATGAGAAGAACAGGAGGAAAGTGACCTGTCCCCCAGAAACGGCAGGTCAGGCCCTGCCAGCCAACATGCCACCATGAGCTGCCTATGCCGCCTGCCCCCCCAACACACAGGTCTTGAGCAGCAACGGGCACCTCACTGGTGAAGTACCACATCTGACAGTCACAGCCCGCCTGCCCTCGGGCCTGCACAGCCAGCAGCACCATCCCTTCTGGGCAGAGGGGAGCCCCAGAATAGCAGGGGAGAGCAGCCACAATTCCCTTCCGGAAGCGCTGGTGTGCACACGCATTCTGAACCCCAGTGAATGGCTGGCTCAGGGCCAAGGGCAGCGCCACCTCACAACCATGTGCATCCATCCATCCATCCGCACACACGCACATATACACTCGCATGTATTCTCCGAGACAGCGCCTTTTTAGTGGCTGCCTGTTGGAACATGAGAGTGCACATGCGGGCCATGCTAACGTCCTACCTGTGTGGACACCAGGCCAGCTGCGTAGTCTGGGGTGGCGTTCTCGATGACTGTCTCTTCCTTGGCTGGCTTTTCCACCACTTCTGCATCTGTTAACACAGCAGGATCCTCGTCCACTCCTGGCTTCGGCCCACCCCATGAGTAGGTCTGACAGACAGCCCCCTGGAAGGTGCGCGTCACCCCCCAGGACTCAGCCACAGTCCAGAAGCATGACACCAGCATGTACTTCACACATGGTCTCCAGGCCAAGAAAAAGAGCCCTTAGGAAAAGGGCTGCCACGTGGGGCCCCTGCTCTTCCTTTGAGACAAGAGCCAGTCAGGAGGCCGCCTCCACAGGCCAGGAGCCTGGGGGTGCTGGGCCCAAGCCCAAAGCCACCCCCTGCGCAGGCCCTGAGGGCAGGTCCAGACACGCACCCAGGGTCTTCCTTCTCCTCTTCGCCTCTCGGCCAGCGCCAACCATGTCCAGCTCAGAGATGTCCAGCAGCTGCCAGGACAGACACAAGGCTGGCGTCAGCCACAGCATGAGACGTGCTGAGGCCAGCCCTGCAGGGGTGATGTGGATGGCACGCCCACCTTCACTCCCCTCTCCTTCCGCAGGGGTGTCCTTGAAGGTGGGATGGGGGTCCGGTTCCCAGCAGGGCTGAAGACACTGGGGGCGGTGGGACTTCTGAAGGGCGCCTGCTTCGGGATGCCTCTGAGTGGGGCTGCCGGGAGGACGGTGGCCGTCAGGGGCTGCCTCGGCAGCACATGGGGAGGCAGCCACCGAGAACCCACGACCCCACCTCCCTGCGGCCAAGCACTTGGGCACTGACTGGACGGAACGGCCACAGGAAGTGATGGTGTCATAGCCAACCCATGATATTTTTGCAAGAAAGCCTGAACAAAAAATGGCGTCACGTCTGCAACCGTCCTCCCAGCATGTCAAGTCTTCCATCAGCACTGACAGCCTCAGCCTCTGCTTCCTCTCACATCCCTCGGTGAGAACGGGTTTGTTATTAGCCAGATGCCCTGCCCTGTGGCCAGCATCGCCATCGCCCTCCCCAAAGGCCCGGTCCCGAGTCCGTCAGAGTCGCCTGACACCCAGGGATGACGGCTCCTCCTGTGCAGGGCCTGGCCCCTCCCCAGGCGGATCACCCTGGCCTCACACACTGGCCTGGGTGCACACAGTCCCTCTGTGGCAAGGCCACCGTGGACGGAGAAGCACCCTGGAGTGCTAGGCTGGTTGCTGGGTCAAGGGCACAGTTACTTCCCGCCCCTCAGGGTGCCTCACTGGCCAGTGGAGAGCTGGGGGGAGAAGCGTTTGGGAGAAGGAGCACTCAGGGTGGGAGGCAAGGGGCAAAGGGGGGCCCATGTCAACCTGATGTGTGTCTGAGGCCACCCAGGGGACAGTCTGGGCCTGCGCAGTGATGAGCCGGCCAACGCCGAGTGCGCAGGGCTGTGGATCGGCATGTGACCATGGCAGGCAAACTGGCAGCTGGGCCCCACATGGGGACCCCATATGGCTGACCCTTGGCTCCAAGGGGCACGACATCTGTTTTTCCAGGTAACCTGCCCCCTGCCATCTAGTGGGTCCTGGGCCTCGGCAGTAAGCAGTGTGGTAGAAGGGCAGGGAAATGGAACTTGGGTGGACTGTGTCCTGTTCTCTGCGCTGCTTGCCCAGTGCCCTCGGAAACAACCTCCAGGGCAACCCTTTTCCCCATCATAAATACCCGTTCTGCTTACGGTGGGCAGTCCCATCAAACAGGTACCGAGGCTCACGAGGAGCTGCAGCTGGGAGCACAGGGGGAACGTGGGGGATGCAGGGGGCTGTGGGCTGGACAGGACCAAGGGCAGGAGGACTGGAGTAGGTGTGGCCACCCCAGGCCGCTGCAGGCAGGAGAGGGACAAAAACTAGTATTTTCCTCAAATTCTGGCTTTCACCTCAGCACAGTCCAGGTCTCTCTAAGCAGACACTTTCCATTTCACACACGCTTACTAAGGGGCTGGAAGGACCTCCAGAGCCTGCTACAAAGTGCAGCAGTGCTAAGCCCTATGCAGCTGGTGAGGAGCCCTGCGGCATGGCACGCCCGCTCTCCAGCGGGGACCTGGGGCAGTGGGCACAGCCTTACTTGTGGTGTCCATCTTGCGGAGCAGTCCCCGGCCCTTGGCGTGGAAGGGCACCCCTGCACTCCTCTTCAGCTGCTGGGCTGTCTCGGTGGCTGTAAGCAGAAGGCTGCCTGGTCAGTCAGCACAATGACAGGGCGCCTTGGACTGCATGTGAATTCTGCAACTAGCCCAACTTCCACAGAAGCATGAGCTGTGAGTGTGGCGGCGCATCCTCGTCTGTGGTCATAGCGCAGCGCAGCCCCCATCACAGACGTATAAACATGACGAAAGGAAGGAGAGTTCCCTGCCAGGGCCTGGTGAGGACTGGCAGTGGCAGGCGGAAGGATGGCACAGAGGGGCCTGAAGCCCAGTCTGAGTCCTGCTGGCTCCGAGCAGCCACTGGCCCCAGAACACTGTCCATTTTGAACCAAGAAGCACGATGCCTACTGAGTTTTGTTCAGTCTTTGAAAACAGGATGTTATGCTTGTTATTAACAACAATTTCATGACCATTCAAAATAAAACAGTTCCCTGAAATTGTTAGTATTTGGTTGAAGGAATCTATTTCCTTGCCTTTCCTAAAAATCTCTCCCACACGTTTAAGTGCCACTATCTGAGAAAACGTTAAGTGAAAGGACCAAAACTCCTCACAGCCAAACCGGAGCCCCTGAGCAAGGACCCAACCTTTCAAAGCCTCAAGGCCACCGCGCGTCACAGCCTGACTCAGTGATCCTGAGTTTTGCTTCACTTTTTTTAACAAATTACAGACATTTTGCCCTGAAAGTTCTCAGGTTTCTAAAGCAGATTTTTAGGACACAGTTTAGCATAACAATAAATACATTTCAGAAAAAAAAAAACCAAACTTTGTGTAGAACCTAGTCTTGGGAAGGCAGGTTCTGTACCAGACACTCTAGACAACTGGCACTGTAAAGGCTGCAGAAGGGGAGGGGGCACGGGGCGGCGCGCAGGGCGCACTCACACTTCTGCAGCAGCTCGGCCCGCAGGGTGGCACTCTTGGGCTTCCTCTTCAGCTGGAAGTGCTTCGCGGGAGGCGCGAGGGGCCCGGCGAGGGTCGTCAGGGCGCTCTTGTTCAGGTACCGGCACTCCAGCGGCAGCATGGCCGATGCCTCGCACTCGCCCACTGCTCGGTTCAGAACCAACGCAGCAAGCGCGTCAGGAGGTGCCCCTTTCCCAGGCCGCGATCTTCACGGCAAATATGCAAAGAGGACCCAAAAGGCAGCTTCCTACCAGAGTCCCGAACCTTCTGCTTCGCGTTCAAATCAGAAGCGAGACCCACGAGCATGGTGCCCAGTGTCTCAGCTCTGCCACCACCCAGCCATCAAGACGTGGGCGGGGGCCAAGGACGGGCAGCCCAACTGTGGGGCGGGCTCACAGGACCCCTGAGTCCCATCCTGGCCTCAGCTGGGCTGTGGTCTGGGAGCCTCAGGCACCAAGGGGACGTCAGGGCAGCTACGTGTGGAGGTGTCTCATGCGTTCAGAGCACCAGACGACTTTGTGGACTCGCCCCAAACAGGTCCGCCTCTCCGCCCAGCAGTCAGACTCGGGAAAGCCCTGGGGAAGGCACACCCACTGCCCTCGGGCTAGGCACCTGGGCCCGCGTGGGGAAGGCAGGGCAGCCCTCTGCCCAAGAGATGTCACCCAGTGGGTGTGGACCCTCTTTAAGCTAACCCCCAGGACAGACACTGCAGGTCTGTTTCCAAGTGCTCTGAAAGCATCTGTGTAGTGCGTGGGCAGCTACAAATCGAGTGAGACTCATTAGTCACCTCCTAGGCGAAAAGATGTTGGGAGCCACCAGGGGGACGGCCAGGCCACCAGGCCTGCAGGACAGGGCACAGGCTCTGCCTGCCGTTCCCATCCTCCAAACTAGAGGAATCTAGACCCAGCTCACGTTCTAAACAACTGAACTGCCGATATTTTCAACACACATCTCTGAGCATCGACTGTGCCAGGCAACTTTCTAGGCTCTGGAGATGCAACCTGGAGGCAGAGCCCCTGCCCTCGTGAAGCTGAGTGGGGGACAGTGCTGATCGTGAAAGTAAGGAACACATTTCAGATAAAGCAGGGGCAGTGAAGAGGGGCCTCGGTGCTGCGGTCAGCAGGCCGGACAGCGGCTGACGAGCTGAGGACAGGGCGATGGCACTGTGGCTAAGCACACTGCACAGTGCAGATCCACAGTCGGGTCAGACTCCTCCTCGAGGAGACGCCTGAAAGGAAGGCCTCTTCCCTCCTCCCAGCACAACCAGATGTGCGCGACATACCCTTTTCTCTAAGTTCTCCTAAAATATCTTGAACGTTGGGATTCTGCTCTTCAAGATCAAGGTTAAGCGAGCCTGTGTCAGGAAAGGACTTCAGGATGTCAGCGACCATGAGAACCCAGGGGTCCGAGTCCAGGGCGGCCAGCTGGATGATCTCTGCCAGGGCGCCCTTCATCTGCCAAGAACGGAGGGACGGCGGCCCTGAGTGGGGTGCCAGCTGCCCCACTGCCCCAGCCCCACCCTGCCCCCCATGGGAGCCCATCGCCTGAGAATGACCTACTCAGCCACCTCGCCTCTGAGCGCGAGTGGAACTGTGCAGAGGGAGCCCCTGCCCACCCTGTCCGAGCTTCTGGGGACACATAACAGTGTCCAACCTCTGCAGCCAGTGTCCCCGCACCCCACCCCACCCACCTTCACAGGGGCTGTGGGCTTCCTCATCCTCAGCGACCCCACCTCCAGGCTATTCCACTTCTTCAGGTCGCCATGCCCACTGCATCCAGCACCCTGCCTCAGCCTGTTGCCCACCCTCTGCAGGGGCAACCACACCTCCCCACAGCCTCCCAGACGGCGACAGGCAGCACTCAGCCTCCTTGCATGTGGATCCCACAGGCCAGGGAAGGCCATCCAAACCGGCCACACAGCCCAGCCCCCTCCTTCTCTGGATGCATGCTGCCAGACTGCCACAGCCTCCATTTAGGAGATCTGATGAAGGGGCCCCTGGGGCATGGAGAGCTGGGTCCAGGGTGGTAATGGGGAGCCCCGAGACAGGCATGCAGGTGGCCCCGATGTGCTCAGCTAAGGACTGGGGTCTCAGCCATCTGGGGGGGCAGCAAAGAGCCTGATCCCGCCCTGTGACTCACCAGCCCTGCATCTGCCTGGGGGGCTGGCATCAGCAGGCTGGGACTCAAGCTGGTAGAAGGCGAGGCGGCCAGGGCCTCATGCTCCCCAAAGAGCAGCGGCTCCTGTCACTCTCTCCTGGGTACAGGGTAGAAGCTGCAGGGACCAGTACCCTAGAGGACCAGGGTGACATGGGCAAGGGAGCTGGCACTCCACCCATGGCACCTCAATACCAGTGTTTGCCCGCTCCTCTGACAGGTGCAAGCAGCGTGGGCAGCCACCACTGTCAAGCCTGAGCCACTGGGGCTATGACCACTGTGTGTCCAGGCTGAACCCCCAACAAGCCCTCTGACTCCTGCCCCTGCTGCCCAAGCTCTGTCCTAAGAGGTCCTGTGCACAGCCACCTATCCCCTACAAACTGGTACCTCCAGCCCTGCCCAGGGGGCTCCACTGCGGCTGCAGCAGGAGAGCGCTTGCAGGAACACAGACTGGACCCCATTTGGGCTCTGCACTGCCCTCAGGAGGCAGGGATCCCCAGCTGGCCTGAAGAGGCCACGCTGGCTGCCACTTTGGCCTGCCACCCCCTCTCAGGATCGGGCCAGAGCTGGCCAGGCATGGGGGGGTGTGGGCCCTGCCGGGATGGGCCCCTCTCCGCCAGCTGTAGCCCACCACACCCACACCATGCCCTGTGCCCAGCCGGTGGCCCCAATTCAGAAAGGCCACCCCTGCAAATAGGGAGAAGTATGTTGTTTTGATATGTGGCAAAAATGGAAAACATTTACTTTTTAACACTAGTGCTGGGAGCTTTTTACTGTTGTTATAGAAGGTCCTGTCTCAGCCTCCCCTTCTACTCAGCTAAGCATAAGCTCTGTTCTACATTACAAAGGCACAGAACGAAAAATTAATTTTATCTGTCATTTACTCTACAATGAATTAGTGGCAAAAATGTGGCTCAGTAAAGATAGCAGGTTCCACCCTCGACAACCACCCCAAAGCATTGGGAACAACACCCATGGAGAGAGAGACACTGCCTGAGGACACAGACGCCTCACCCTGATGGCAGCGCAGATCAGAGAGGCTGCAAACACAATGGGGCCCAAACAGGGCCAGTGCACCCCACTTGCCTCAGGAGACCAGAATCACAAAGGTGGGCTGTGTTGGCTAAGTGGGGGAAGAAACTGAAGCCCTGGCTCCAGCTCCAGGCACTGTTGATGTGCAGGTAAACTGGTTCGGCCGCCCAGGCAGGCACCTCAGCAGAAAGACAAACCACATGACCAGCAAGCCCACTTTACGTGCAGTCCCAAAAGAACTGAAAACACCGGTCCACCCAAATACTTGTATGTGAATGGCCTGATGCCTAACAGCCCGAGGCCATCCCCTGCTGAGTGACGCACAAGGCGTGCTCCATCCAAAGTCCTGACAGAGGCCTCGTCCGTCCGGAGAGACTGAGACGATGGGAGGCTCTGTAGGAGCTGGTCACAGAAGAACACAGAGTGGATGGGCCACCGCACCACACAGGACGTGTGGAATGGAAAACTCCACAGATGCAGGAGGCGGAGGATGGCTTCTGGGAGCTGGGGGTGGGGAGGGCGACTGCTCACGGAGGCAGGTTACAGAGCGACAAAGATGTTCTTGCACTGGAGTGACGACTGCATCACATAAATATACCAAAACCACTCAACTGTACACTTTGAAAGAACAAATCCCATGTGAATATATCAATGTGAAATATTTTGAGGGGAAAAATGGAGGGGTGGGGAGTGCCAAGAGGGCATCCTAGGCACACCCCAGCAGAGCCCACGGCCCCTCCAGAGTCTGCATCACACCTGGGCCCCTGCTGGCACCCACAGCGCAGGTGGGAGGATCCTTGGCCCCGGGTGGGCACAGCGTTCCCAGAGGTCAGAAGTCCGAGTGCCCAAGAACCACAGCTGAGCTTGCTCTGGAGGAGGCCTGGCAGCAAGTCGGCAAGAACGGGGCCTGCACAGGCACAGCCCTGCTAAGCCAACCTGGGCAGGGCAGGGGCAAAGGAAGGCCTGTGTCCAAGGGACAGTCGCTGTCGCCCGGAAATGGCTCCGGCCCTCCTTGACGTGAAGCTCCTTAGAACAGCCAGGGCAGAAAGTACCTGCTTCGGTCAAAACGATCTACAACCCTAGAAGGAACCAGAAGAGGAACAAGAGAGATCAAAGAGCGAAAGCCACCGTTCATTGGATGGACGCTTCTGCGGAGCGCACGCCGCTCTGACTGGTTACATGGCCAGGAGCTTTTGAAACTCCAAAACAAGGACAAAAGCAGAGAAATGAGCTCGAGATCCAGGAAGCTGGCAGGAGGCGACAGAAACAGCAGGTAAGACCAGGCCTGGAAACACATGCTGCAGTGACAAGGAACCCACGAAGGCTGGGATATGGCGCTGTGTGCAGCGCCCTCGGCCCACGAAGATGGGCATTCTCCCCAGCACATCTGGAGGTCCAGGGTGACTCTACTCAGCTTCCAGAAAGACTATCTTCAGATAACTGAGCAACGGAATTCTAAACTTCTTATAAGATTGTTTAAGAACATTTCTCTTAGGAGAAAAAAAACACATTTTTTAAAAAGACAAGAGACTAATTTTGCCAAATGTTAAGATGTACTATAAGTGCTTATGATTAGATGCCTTCCCTAACTCTCACTTTATTCCCAAATAAACTTTATATATAGATCAGATTTCAATTTGAAAAATAAGGCCATGAAACTACTAGAAGAAACCATAAGAAATCTTTATCTTATGATTGTTAAGTGAGAAAGGCCTTGGAAGTATGATTCTAAACCAAGGACCATAAAAGAAAAGAATCTGGCTTTTACTACACACGTTTTTTTGCATGGAAAACACGAGGAACTCCAAACCCTACAAATGAAAAATTTTTAAATGACAAACTGGGGAAAAAAATACCTGCAACTCCTACCACAGACAATTTACACACACACACACACACACACACACACACACACACACACGGGATTCTGCAAGTCAATAGGAAAAAGGTTATCATTAGAAAAATGATTCAAAACTCTTAAAAATGCAAAGGATACTGAGCCTCATTCAACATTAAGAGAAATACAAATAAAACCAGAATGAGACATAATTCCCTGTAGGTCATTAGGGCAGGTCCTAATCCAATCTCCAGGTGTCAGCAATACCAGGACGAGCAAAGACTGGTGGGTACATCTGGGCGACCACTGTCAGCCTGTCTGGAGGAGCTGGCAGGGTGGCGGGGCACTTCACGGGATGCCCTCCTGAGTCCAGCCACCTGGGGCCAAATCCGGCACTTGCCACGGCTCCCCAGGACAGCGTGGGCACACCCCCCATGCCTGTCCCCTCTGTCAGTAAGGTCACAGTGGCCACCTGCACACCATCCTGAGGGGCAGCGCCTGGAGCAGGGCAGCAGCTGCCGATCTTTCCACCAAGCAGGTGACCACACCCTGACTTAAAACGTCATGACCTCTACAAAGGTTGCAACGTTCATCACGATGTATATATAACACCTGTGCTTTTCGCCTAATTGGCGCATCCAAGAATTTATTCACTAGCCATTGTGCACATCTGTACAAAACGACACACATGCTGAGAGGCAGCAGACAGACAGAGGCTACCGCAAGGGCACAGATATGGAGGTATCACCGAGACAGAGCTACACTAAGGCAAGGAAGTCATCCATACCACAGACACTGAGCCCCCACTGAGGCCGGGCCACGCAGGGGCATCAGCAACACCTGGACGAGCAAGACGCAGGACCTGGTCTCAGAGAAGCTCACAGACAAACAAAAGAAACTGAGAATTCACTTGTATTCACAAAAGCCTACCATTATAGGCTGAACTGTGCCCCTCCAAAAAGAAATGTTGGAGTCCTAACCCCAATACTGCAGAATCTGATCTTATTTGGAATTAGAGCCTTTACAAAGGTGATCAGGTCAAATGAGGTCATCAGGGCAGGTCCTAATCCAACCACTGGTGATCATGCAAAAGGGGCAGGAGGGGCGACACTGTGAGACACGAGGGAGGACAGCAGCGTGAACGGAGGATGGGATGGCCTGCCAGCCAGAGGGCGCCGAGCCGCTGGAGGCGAGGAGAGGCGACCTGGCTTCTGGCCTCCCACAGCTGCGAGGCAGCACACTGCTGGGGCCGGAGCCACCCAACGTGTGGTCCCTTGTTACAGCGGCCCTCATGAACTAGCACAACATGAGGCAGATGGACGGTATTTTACAGATGTTAAGGGAAAAAAGGCAGGAAGGAAGGTTAAAGACAAAAAGACCACTGTTAGGGACTGCCCGTGTTCCCTCAAATCACATGCTGAACCCCTATTG